AGGGCGAACGATTCGAGTACACAGAACGTTATTCCTTGTCTCCTGAAACCACGCTCTAAACTACATGTAGGAACTTTTAATGTCCGAACATTGTGCCAAATAGGACAACAGGCTTCCTTAGCTAGGACTCTAGAATCTTACACCATCGATGTGTGCTGCGTCTCCGAAACGCGCATACAAGATCCGAGTAGTGTCATTCATTTGACCGCACCTAATCAAAATAAAGTTTCATCTCGATACACGCTTCGTGTATCTGGAAGCCCTGACGCTGCTTCCTGTGGCCTCGCTGGAGTAGGTATAGCATTAAGTCCTAGGGCAGAACTAGCTCTTTTAGACTGGATCCCAGTAGACAGTCGTCTATGCGCTATCCGACTAAACGGACCAGTAAGGAACCGGAAAGATAGGGAAACTCGTCGTTGCCTCTTCGTCGTCTCTGCCTACTCTCCCACTGACTGCAGCTCAGACGATATAAAAGATGAGTTCTACAGGAAACTTTCTGACCTTCTCCGAGAAGCTAAGCGTTCTGATGTAGTAATAGTAGCAGGTGACTTTAATGCTCAAGTAGGTAAACTAAGTGAAAGGGAAAGACACCTGGGTGGATCTTATGGTGTCATGGCGAAAAGAACAGATAATTGCGAACGTCTGTTGCAGCTGTGCTCAGATAACCGCCTATTTCTTGCAAATACTAACTTTAAGCATAAGGAAAAACATCTTTTGACATGGCGACCCCCGAATTCGTCCCAACGTTGGACCCAATTAGATCACATCGCTATCAGCAACCGATGGAGGGGCTCGATAGAAGACTGTCGCTCATTCTGGGGCACATGTTTAGATTCAGATCATGCTCTAGTGCGAGCATGTATCTGTCTACGTCTTACTGGTCGTAGGAAAGACACTGCAGGGAAGCCTCTAAGGGTTCTACTTAATGATAGGCAAGCTAAGAATATATTTCAGGAACAACTAGAAAAACAGTTAGGCAGCCATGTAAGTTGTGTCCACCCCGAGGCAGCGTGGAATGACATCCGAAAAACTGTGGAAACAGCAGTGATATCCGCTAATAAGGTAATCCATAACGTTAGGGAGAAACAATGGATCTCGGCAGCATCTACCGCACTGATAGATGCTCGTAAACTCATCCCACCTGGCTCTGAGCATAACGAAGAGCGGAGTCAACTTAAGCGCAGGCTTATAAGAAGTCTACCTAATGATCGTGAACAGTGGTGGGTAGCGAAAGCAAGAGAGATGGAAAAGGCAGCGGCAATAGGTAACAGTAGGCAGCTATTCAGACTCGTTAAAGAAACCGGTATTAGGAACCCGAATATCAGTGAAACCATCTCAGATAAAGATGGGCATATTATTCATTCTCAATCCAGGAGGTTGGATCGATGGGCAAAACACTTTAGGGATCAGTTCAACTGGCCTTCAGCCACACTTCAATTACCCACGATCCCCAGTCGTCCTGAATGGCAAATTGATGTAAGTCCTCCAACCCTCTGCGAGGTTGAAAAAGCTATAGGAAATCTGAAGCGAGGGAGAGCAGCAGGCCCTGACAGGTTGACCCCTGAGATTTTTAAGGATGGTGGTCCAGTACTAGCAACGAGATTGACTGAGGTCTTAGGTAGAATCTGGGAACTGGACGTAATTCCATCTGACTGGTCCCAATCACTGATTGTGCCAGTCTATAAGAAAGAACAAAGGTCCTCCTGTGACAATCACAGAGGGATCAGTTTGACTAATATAGTGTCTAAAATATTAGCTTCAATAATACTAGGTCGCCTAACCAAAGCTCGTGAAGAGCAGACTAGAGAAAACCAGGCTGGTTTTCGACCTGGACGTGGTTGCATAGACCAGATATTCACCCTACGTCAGGTTCTAGAACATAGACACAAATTCAGACGTCCCACAATAGTAGTATTTCTTGACCTTAAGGCGGCATTTGACTCCGTTGATCGTGAGGTTCTATGGCAATGTTTGTCACTGAAAGGAGTACCAAAGAAGTACATTAACCTCATAAAGGCTCTCTACTCGAACACAACTGGTCGAGTTAGAGCCTATGGCGAACTGTCATTGGAACTGATTACCACAAGTGGCGTTCGTCAGGGCTGTCCACTCTCCCCATTCTTGTTTAACTTTGTCATTGACATACTTTTAGAGATAGCACTTTCATCAGCTAAACCTCCAGGAGTTGAACTTTTACCAGGAGGCTCACTTGTTGACTTAGAATACGCCAACGACATAGTTTTATTCGATGAAGACGGTGACAAAATGCAGAGTCTTCTGACCACTATAAGCAACTATGCAGGCATGTTCTGGATGCGATTCTCTCCCTCGAAGTGCAAAATGTTACTTCAGGATTGGGTTGCATCGACACCTGAACTAATGATAGGGAGTGAAGTAGTTGAGCGTGTAGACTACTTCACTTATCTTGGGAGTCTGATCAGCCCTTGTGGTCTGGTATGTGACGAAATCTCAGCACGGATACAGAAGGTTCGTCTAGATTTTGCCAACTTGCGTCATTTATGGAGTAGGCGAGATATCCGTCTAGCAACCAAAGGACGGGTTTACTGTGCAGCAGTTCGCTCCGTCCTACTTTATGGCAGTGAAACATGGCCAATAAGAGTAGAGGATATTCGTAGGCTACTAGTGTTCGATCATAGGTGTCTTCGAAGCATTGCTCGTATATCCTGGGACCACCGGGTAAGTAATGCAGTTGTTAGGAAACGAGTACTAGGTAGGGATGGCAAATCGATTGATGAAGTAGTGAAACTTGATCAGTTGAGATGGCTGGGACATGTGTTACGTATGCCCGACCACCGACTGCCCCGACGTCCAATGTTTCATGGTGTAGGAGTAGGTTGGAAGAAAGCTAGGGGTGGCCAGACCAAAACGTGGCACAAATCAATGAAGTCACTGACAAGTGGACTGGGCCATGTTGGTAGGTGTAGACTACCTGGTTGGGATTCGCGAGATGACAGCAACCGATGGTTAGAGACCTTGAATGACATGGCTCAAAATCGTTTGCAATGGCGAAGATGCATCCACCCTTTGTGTTCTACCAAATTCTAATCTTCTGAATTCCTCATGTCTTTATCTTTTTCTCTTTCCAAATTTATTCCACTGTACTATACTCCTTCAATAATTTCTTCAAACCCTAATCTTTTGGATTTCTGATTATACTCCTACTACTTCTACCACTATGGGATTTGAATCGACAACTGCATCTCTGTGCTAATGTGGTATGGCAACTCGAACTGATGTACGTACGTACGAAGTTCTACGTTGTGACTGACTGACCAGTAATTATAAGAATTCTCATCGCGAACTGAAATTAGTTTAGTAAGTATGTTTTAAAAACTAGGTCTACTAGTAAATACTATGAAATACTGTGGCGTTCGTTTGCTCGATTGGTAAGTATTAATGGCATATGAAGAACAAAAATTAATCAAAGGAAATTATTTACATCGTGTATTTCATATATAACAAAAGAATAACCAGATATACAAATGTCTAGTCAGTTGATTTTGCGATAATTGTATAAAATAGGATAAACATTATTTAATGCTTCATACAAATGTTCACGTGATTTGGCACCTATAAGTTAATTTAAAAAAGTATTAATGTGATGAAATTACTTAGTAAAAATATCAAAAATTACCATTCCATATTATAAAAGGTGAACTTTGAACCAAATAGAGATCTCTATTTCGCGAAACGCCAACGTAATTCTGTCGAGGTAACCAATGAGTATTCTATAAATTGATGTCGTTTTTAAACAGAACAAGCTAACTGAACATATTTATGAAGGAAACTCTGCATTTTGAGTTACAGATGTTTAACATCAATTCAAAGTTGTATGGAAACTTGCCGGTCAGAGTAATTTCGTGACAATCGTTTATTGTAACTAAATCAATCACGGGTAGCTAGTTTTTTTCACTGAATAATTTCTTGTGTTCTACTGGGTAATCCTGGATTAATTATTCTTTTCGTAGGGATTAATACTAAGGTTTGGCTTGATAATTTAAAATAAATTGAGCATTTATATTTCTGCCCATCGGGATATCACAAATGTATTATTATTTAATTGTTCGCTTATTAGCTGATACAATTCTAATCTGTCCCGCCATAATGAAATGGTCATTTACACGCTTGGCTGTGCGGAGAGTTGATAGTGTAGCTAGGCTGATAATTATTATAATACCATTTACTATTAATATATACTGGCATATAAAGATTCCGAGAAGTCATGATAATCTTTAGTCTGCAATCGACCTTAGTGGATCTAACAACTTGAAACTGTGAAAAAAATAACATTTAGAAAATCACTAGTGGCTTAAACAGATCCTCTCAAATCTTCATAGTTTAAATCATGAACTGGTTTTAGCTAGACCACCATTGGACAGCTGTTTTATTTTAATACGAGAAATGTACATCATTGGATACTGGCTCATCGTTCTAAAGGTCAAATATTTGCGCACCATATCGAAGGTCCTGGGTTCAACCCCATGTGATGGGGTCGTAGATCTGTGCTGTTGAAGAGTGATCTTAGGTATCATTCAATGATACAGCCGGAAATTAATATCAGTAATCCATATTTTATTTCACATTACCGCGAATGATCCTCTATTTTTGCATCGACTTCTCTAAATTTTTTTCAGTAAAGCGAAGGATTCACACTTAAACGCTTATAAAAAGGATTTAATAAATAAACCTCATGTACAAGCTCTTGTTATCTATTCTTTGCCAGGATTTATCAACTGATAACAATGTCTATATCCTTCACATAAAAGATTGACAGTTTTACATTAAAGGGTCTTGACATGGTCCTGCTGATAGCAGCTTGGGGATTGTAGATTTTATGCAAATATTTTAACATAAACGTCTAACACAATATCTGTTCAGACTATAATCTATGAAGAATTCAGAGTGAAATGTGTTTACAATCAGTCATCAAATTATAGCCTGGCACAAACTTGCACTAGGCCAAAGTGCCATGCCACATGACGAGATTACGTTAAAAGGACAAATAGCAAAAGATATCAATATAATATAGTAGCAATGATAATCACAGAGACTAAGCATTCAAAATATGGTTCAAGAACGCAATGAGGTTTACGTATGAAGGAATTACTACGCCTCATAATATGAAGATAAAAAGTAAACGGATCTGCGTCATCTACAAAGTAAAACTAAAAAAGGAATCCAACAACCTAAAGCCAAAAGTTGTCTACTACAGACTAATGTGTAAAAGCTAAATGGATTCTCAAATCTCATTAGGTGAACCGAAGTTTTGAATTATAACTTTCTAGTGAAAGTTCTGTATAATCCAGAATACAGTTCACTTACCTGTCATAACAATCTTTCCATTTACAAAGATAAGCATTACTAAACGGGGTTTTATTATACGATAAATTAAGGCTGGAAATATTTCCGGTTCATATCTGGAAAAAATGAAGCCAAATACAAATACAGGTTTGATTATCCATACAACTGTAAAAAAAATATTGAACAATATAACTTAGTCTCCATATTTGGACATCGGAAGTGAATGACTTTATCAACATTCTGTACAGGTCTGGCTACATTTAGGCTCCTGTCAAACTACTGCTATTTTAGACAAAATAGTTAATCCCATTTATTACCAACCTTAGTTACTGAGGATTTATAGCCTCATCATTTGATCTCTCTTATTTATTAAGTACTTCGTTTAGGTCATGTATCTGGAGCGTAAAGTATGATATGAGGAAGTCCTGTGTTGTGTAATTTCCCTCCGACAGACAAACGTATTATCTGTTCTAAAATGGTAGTCGGCTGGGAATAATTAATCTTTGTACCTATACTCCTGCTAATGAGGGTCCCAAGATAAATGGGGTAGTTAAAACGTTCAATTACTCCACTTCATAATGCCAAACCAGACATCAATGCAGAGCGACCATAGATCAACATTTTACATGCAAGTGAGAAGTCTATTCCAAATACTACTCTTCTATCACTCCAGGTATTCAGAAAACTGAATTTTTATGCTTCTTTACCAAACAGAAATATATTTTCATTTCAAGTCAATGGGAGTCTTCAAGTGGAAAATCAAGTTATTATAATTGTAACAAGTAATGTATTCTTTTAGAACCAAATACTGTACCCAATTAAAAAATAACGGATAAATAATGTATTGAAATACATCAGATAACTGAATAGTAAAAGCTCATTAAAAAAAAAGATTCCCATAGAAACTAACTGTGTCATCTGTTCATTGGCCAACTGTACACCTTCCAAACGTATCGGAAATTTCAGATCAGCCAAACCAACCATGTTTTGAATAGTAAAGTTCATGAATTTCACCTAAATTAAAAACCAATGGAATGACTGGTAGTTACCTACTGATTTGTACACCGATGTCCAATAAATATACAAACTGTTATATAGAAAAATGGCAAACGTGCATGACCTTAGCAGCAGGTTATTATGGATTACTAGACTTAACAATCAACGTTTAGTCGGTAATTCCAAGTTTCACTGGTGAAAGCATGAAGATACAGTCTTATACATCTTTAGCATTAGTAGGTTACAACCAAGTATATAGAAACAGGATTGGACTTTTGTTACTATCAAGTGCTGAAGATGATCAATAGGATGTCCAAACTGGGCTAGCAATGTACTACTAGATAACACAACCAAATTACTTAATCAACTCAATTGACAACGATTAGCGAGCAATCCCTCTACTTCAACCAAGCACTATGCATCAAGCCTTCAAGTTTTCCACTCAGTGTAAATGGTCCAGATATTAAAATTGAAGATATATCTGTCACCTGAATCTAACAGTTATATTTTACAGTCATGCAACGTAGCGCAGGACACTAAAACTCAACATCCTCGTCCTAGGGATAAGTAGACAGACTTTAGGGGTGGAACCGGTCAAATGTCAATACGTCGCACAGATAATTTGTGTAAACCTGTTATAAATTTCCATTATAAAGTTATTTCATGGTAGAGCAATCGCTCTTAATTTCTACAGAACTTCATGATAAAAATGAACGTCGGACAAACCAGATTTTCAAAGCGAATAACCTTATGAACTAGCCATAGCGCGTCTACAACGTACAGTTATCTTGATAAATATATGCTCTATATTATATACCCCAATACAAGTTAAGAATTAAACTTAATTATTAGATACCAAATAATAGTCCTATTCACACAATCAACGAAAGTTGGCATTTAATGAACTTACATCAAACCCAAGTCTTTGTAGTATACGAGCACATTTCCGAGAACCTAAATTTGCATCTGATTCAGAACGTGCACCAGTGCACACCATGCGACCTGTTCCAAACACTAAACAAGTGACACGAGGTTCACGCAGACGCATGACAACACCAGGAAATCTGCGTGGATTGTACTCCGCACTACGGACATGCAGTACCAATTTACGTAACTCAATAGGACATCCTAAATCCACAGTAGAAACCATATTGCTAACAATTGATATAAGAATAAGATAATAAATCGAGTTAATTGAACATAATTCGAAGTTACGAAAACGAGTCTAGTTGATAGCAAATAAAAAGTATTAGAAAGAAATCCAAATCAGAACTGATACACTCTTAATATAATGGGCAGTAAACTGCTTACTGTATGAGACTCTGGACTAGTCAATCAGTCATACGCAACGTAGAGCCTGGAATCTATCTATTTGTTGCTATACCACGGCACAGCAAGATTACTAAGACTAATTCCAGTGTATTGGAAGTATTAACAGTAATAGCATGGATGGGCATAGAAAGAAATGTCTATATACGACAGGACAAACGTAAATAAAGCAGTGCATGCTTTTAAAAGTAAGTCATTTACCGAGTACATGTCCTCAGCTTTGAGCGACACTATTTGTGTGAGAAAAAACCAGACTTTCTGGATGTTTAAACAACAGTAAAGTTTGAACATGTGGCCTATTAGTTGAAAACCGAGTCCATTAATCCCTAACCTATTGACCTAGAAGCTACTTTAAGCTAAGTACCTATATTTGGTTGGTAAGTAACACAAGAGTTACAACTAAATGTTGTGGACTCAGCTTATTTCGAATAACCTCATTTCAATTAAATTCACACAAGACTGTAGGAGTGGCTTCCTAGTCACAGAAATAAGATTTCAATCCATAGTTCAGAATTTCGAACACCATTATACCCACTTCATTTCGGGCAGCTAGGTGGGATCCTCAACTCTTACACAATGTGACATTCAGCTAAATGAAGAAACCAGTACCTGATAAATTAGCTAGTTATTTCATATATAGGGAAGGATTTAAGACGAAAATCCACCTCTGAACTGTTTTATTAATCCTTGTTTAGCAAACAACCGTCCATACAACTCGAGATAAAACTATAAATAATTGTGTTATATCCCTATGCCCTGTTGGTTTATCACGTGATAAGAACGCCAATTAGAACACCAACTGTATGATCTTGATACTGTAACAAATGAATGACGCGTTAATCAGTACAAGTCGCCCAGAGCCAACTCTGAGTCCTGATTGGTGCCTCCTCCTAACTCTGCCCGTTTGAGTCCGGAACACAGTTTCTACTGTATGAATCACATATTCCAGACACGCGCAGTTTATACACGAGCAAATCAGACCGCATCACACCATAAAACACAAAATAACAATCATACAAGATCATAACAAAAAGTGACTGTGAGAAGCTGTAACTAATAAATTAGGAATAATAAATCTCATATCAGTAGTCAGTAGGTCGAATGGAAGCTTATAATGACGGAATATAATCATATGAATTATAGTTAAATAGTTATACAACAAGAATATATGATAAAAATCCATAAATAGATCTTAGCAGTTACCATTTGCTTATTCTTCGTCCGGATATAACAATATACATAAGGTCGCAGCCTTTTGATTAAAAATCAAGCTAAACTTGTGTTATCTCCATGGGTTGCATGACAGCTGTTTATGTGTTGAAGTGAACTGAATAGAAGTAAAAGATGAGACTTACGTAAGCGGTTATGAGATTATTTCTAATAACCACAGAATTAATATTTGCCAGTAATATTTCGCTGACAGAAAGACTTTTAGATACATCATAAAGACAAGGAGAACCAAGTTTCAAGGATGAATATATTTATATTGAGGACAGCATAGTTAATATGACGGAAACAATATTAACCGTTAGATATGGGATAAACTGTAGTTCAAACAAATAAATGACTCGTCTTTAAGAAAATGATGTAAAGTGTACTCACTGTATAACAGGTTTTTTAATACCACATAGAAGATCGACGGATTCTGAATCTGGACCAATGGGTCGCTGAGGAGCCATTTCGTTAGTGCAACTGCTACTTGAACTTCCTAACATTATGAGATTGTAGCAAATTAGTCCTGAAAGCAATTTCGATCAATGGTTTTAGCATCTTTTAGAATTTTCTGGGGATAGTCATATTATAAGACATGATAGCAAAATAACCAGTAACTTTACAAATGTCCCATTATCACCAAAGATTGGTGTTTTTGGATCCGATAAGTCTTGAAAGTATTGATAACACCGTTTCTGAAACCGGTGAAATACAGATCCATCATCAAAATACCTTTTCTAAAAAAAAAGTAATTTCAGAGAAATGTTATTTTTCAGTCCCCTATTCGTAGTAAATCGTATAACATTCAGAGTAGGTGTCGTACATCTGGATACGAGACAATATTCAAACCTAGTAATGTTATGGTGTTATGATGTGAACCATTATTTTAGATCACACTAACACTGAAGTAATCAATGTGATGTTGAAGTCAGTTTTTCTAGTAGTAAAATTAACTTGATATACGGAGGATCCAAGTCATCATCGATATGCCACGTACTTCTGCAGAAGACCTAACTAGTCCAAAAACAAAAACAAACCTTACATTTAAGCCATTTGACCGTAAGGATGACCTAGAGGACGTTTAAAACATCCAATACCTTAAGTCTCGCTAGTCTAAGCACATTGATTTGTATGGGATCGCGTCCTGATGTTCTGTAGCATCTACATAGATGAGTCGTATGACTTTATTTTTGTGATCTTGCAGAACTTTTAAAGTCTTTGTCAATTGATAAATGTCGATAGCAAGTGAGTCCATTTATTCTCGAGCAATAAGGTTACTACAACTACCTCTCAACATTTCACCAAACAGCCGTCCATACATTCATATCTAGGTTTGATAGGAGAGTTCGAAGGATGGGAAGGATTAAAATAGGACAAGATGGCAAAGTAGAACAAAAATGAGTAAATGGAATCAAATGTCACTGATATTAACAAAATTTAGACAACAGGAATAGTACGCTAGGGGATGTCAGTCAACCTGCTCGAGATATCTGCTATCAGATGCTCGTGATAGCACTCGTTAAGGGTGTTGTGTAAGCCATCTCTGACAAAATCACTAGTTTAAATTTCTGAAAGTTGATATCTTTATAGTTAGTGAGCATGAAAGTCGCTACATATTTTAGGGCTTTTGGAGATCTCCAATGAACCATTTTTGTGTTCGATGACTCTCAGTAGTATTATATCGTCAGCATAAAAGTTGACTGAAGCATTAAGATTTTCTGTGAGGTCATAAATGTTATGGACAGAAAGGGGTCTACGATAGCTTTTTACAGCACTTAGGAAGGTAGCTTTTTAATCAAAGTACGCCGCCAACATAACAAATCTACAGTTAACAAGGCATTCAGGCCACCTTATCTTAGAACTCTCTGTAATCCATATAGTCCTTCAGAAAATAAAAAAATGGGTCCCTCAGACAACCCAATGTACGAACTTGTTCTGTATTGGAACAAACTTCTTAGCGGGATGTAAAAATGATGCATGCACACGTACTTTTGGATTCTAAAATGTTTTCTTACCCTGGATTCGTAAAACTCACTACCTATCCCTGTCAAGAGTAAATAGAAATGATCGACTGCGTACTTGGGTTGGTTAATGGAACGAATAATTCAGTCCTAAATAATACATTGAAATTGTTAATCGTTTAGTCCAGCAGAAAAAGAGATGTAATGCTTACATAGGATAACAACGCCGAACTCATCTCCCTATTCTTTCAACCTAACAGTAGGTAGTATCACTTGATTTATATATATATATATATATATATATATATATCAAGCATATATTCCATAACAACGGAAGGAAGTAACGGATGATTAATCTCTCGATGTTTTATCACTTCAAGTGGAGGTCACCAACCGACTATATAAACCGCGTTCAAATAATAGACATTTTCCTCGGGTGTTTGGATCTCATAGACTGAAAGCATTCGTATTTCATTTCCATTTGTCGTTAGACTGCTTCATCATTGATCTATCAACCCGTGAAAGTTGTACAACATCATTAGAGCGTTAACTTAGGATCATGAGCACACAATCAATGAATACATCATCGGTACCTTTTGAAAGACGATTAAGTACAAGCACTAGCTTGTCACTAACTGATCTTTACTATAGTTCTTAAAGTAATAGCGTGATTTCGTCTATAGTTATAATAAAAGTTTCGTTTTTTGCCATAAATTTTGTTACAGTAAAGTATCCTCAGCATCGACCGTTCATCACTGAAATAATTTTTTATTTAACGTACACTCAAACTGTGATTATCTCAAAAACTTATTATGTACATTTTCAATAGCTAACATCCGATTCCTACCTAAAATAGATATAACTTATCGTCAGTTAAAATGCTACAAACATTTCTCCTTGAATCATATGTTGAATGCATGAATTACAAAGTATCCTATCGCTCGCTTTTTCCAAAAGGTAAGTTTATTTATTTTTCGGCCTTATTAAAAATTTACGATCTTGATATCAGAGAGATATCGCAACGTAACCTCCATAATCTGATAGTGAAACTGTTCATATGAAAAGTTTCGGAGAGGCTGTAATTTGTGGACGCGAAGTTCATTCATACATTTGGCTAAATAGCGTCTTGCCATTTTATCTGATGTCAGTTCACAGTAAAAATCCAAACTTTAATTCCCAACGCTAACCATCGTTTCACCCTAGTAAGTAGGTTACCATTCTCAAGATCACTTTGGTGTCGTCAATAAATTATAGTCTCAATAAGCTCTCTTTCTGAATCTTTGCAATGCCTATATAGGGTTTGATGGAAACGCATCAAAGCCCATTAAACGTATGCTAGTTACTTTGAATGATGAAATAAAGGAACTAGAGAAACACAAACTTTGCTAAAGTCGTTTGAAGTACTGCTTAAAATTACCGTGCTATACCAGATGTACTGCTTCACATGATTCATTAGTACACAGTGAGCCAATAACAGAGTACTGTTTCAAGTTTACTTTTTAACAAAGTAAATTGACGCAAGACGGTTAACTAATGAGGTAAAATCTATCAGTAAAAGATGGACCACATGATACATGTTCATTTTCGTATTTACTCCCCGGTGACATGAATATTCTCCGATTAATATTTCAGAAGTTTTAGATCTGATGACTTGTAAGAAATCCTTGATGCCAAGGTATAACTCGGCATTGAGGCGTCTGGGAGGCTAAGGAAGTTCAACACAGGCCTCTTACTGTCATTTCGTTGACTATACCAACCAGGTTATCAAGGGAGACTGCTCGTCCTAACACATTTGAGATCTGCCGTATGTCATGCAGCAACCGTTAAAGCTGTAAAAATTTGGGTTGGGTCGCCAAGATTTTACTGAAAGCGTTTAAGTACCATCAAGAAATTATGGTTCATGCATTTCTTCGCTTCCTTATTTAACATAGGGATTACGTTTCCTGTTATTCCACATCGGATGCTGTTGAAAGTGTTTGAAAAGAGAACTTCGCGCTCCAACTGTTCCTTTGAACGATCTGAGCAACGACTGACTGCAACCGGAAGAGTGGTCTCCTCTATAGATAAAAACGAGGGGTAATTACCAGCACTGAAAATAAATGTCTGCCATAATACTTCATCTCCTAATTTGCACGACCCCACCAATTGTTTCATAAGTCGTAAAGTTTGTGATGATTCCCTGTCCTCAGAACACGTCAAGCTAGTAATTGTGGTAGTTTCTTCATATCAGAGATTGAAGTACACTGTGTTGCGGCTGCCTTAAATTTGTGGCACAGGGCATCTTTCCTTCAATTATGTCCTAAAACTCTTCAGCAATTAACTCAGTAGTGCACCGACGACCTGTGAGTATTTAGTTGACTCATAGCAGATTAACCTTGCTAAAACAGGGGTTTGACTTAAATAAACTACATTCTTGGGTTTCTCTTTCTATATCCCAATAGTCTGAAAATATATGTAGCAGTAATAGCAGATAGTGTCTGTTCGGACATTTGTGGCAAGTCAACGAAAGTCTTCCCAGATAAATTTTCAATGTCTATGTTATAGTCTAGGGAATAAATTATATATGAATGCAAATATTGACGATTATGAGGATAAAAATAGACAGATCAATTTGATGATCTTACAATCAAGCAATCAAACCTAATAAGGCGCTGGCTTACAAATTGTGGCGAATTGTAAATTCCAACACCAAATTTATGACAAAATTGCCGCTAGAAATTGTAGAAACAACCAACAACATCAAAATATATAAATACACAGACGAAAACTCTATACAATACTTTTATTGTCCGGAGCAGCGTGTTCAGTTTTTTGTGTCATGAGATCTACAATTATGATATGTAACTAATAATTTTATGAATGCGTTATAATCTGAAGTGGCATATATCTGAAGTGGTACATTAATATGAACATAAATAAAACTTGTACATGTGTTCATGAATTGTGTTATTGATGTCTAAGTGGGAGATGAATGAGAACAAAAAATATATGGATAGCAGTATATTTGTGCACGATAATCAGTGAGTCATGCGACAGAGACAAACACTTAACAAGAAAATTAGGGTTCAGTCTAAACAACAATTTTGTAGTCTATGAAAATGATTATATAAATTAGGTGGAGTTCTGGAAAATATGAGCATTTATTTACTTGTAAAATGACTGTGTTAGCTATCTCTACAGACTACTTAGATCCTGACTATTTATCGCCCACCTACAGGACCGCTTCGGAGCATGAGGTGAAATGTATGGCTAAAGACAGGAAGCAATGACTAGAATTATGGTAGTACTTACAAATAACAGCTAAGAAACGTTTGACATGCAAAGAAGACTCATTCGTTTATCAAGTAGAAAGTAACAGCATCTGGTTTTTTGAGGGTATTTTAGTGTGGCTTTTGAAAGTTGAAGTCATATAGGAGTGGCAACGACACTGTGGTATAGTGACCCTTTTCGTGCTACTTCTTTGTTTCAGCCAAAACATCGAAATCAACCATAACTAAATATGAGAGTTTATTTTCTGTTTCCACAATTAAGTGAAAAAGGGTTCCTCTTTTTAGAGGTACATGGTATCACAAAGTCCTTGAAAACTCGTTACAAACGTTTTTCTATATTTGCATTGCAGACTAGCAATTATTTCCACTTATCTGTTCACTAAGTGTAGACATGTAGTTTATTTTTATGTGAAATAAAATGATTTACACATTTATCGTCATTAAGATCGTATTATCGTCAAGGTTACCAAAACTGCGCAACGAGTGACGACTCAATAATAGGGCTTGCCATTTTCCTCTTGTTCATTGCGATATCAGCTGATTTTCACCGTTTTGTTCTACCTTTATGTCAGAAATAGGTTATTAAAGACAATATTAGCTGTCTTGACGGTTGTAAATGTTTTGTATGTGCTTTAGGTTATTATAACACATTGGAGATACCACAGGTATTGTAGTTTGACAACTCTTTACCAGTAACACCTTCTATAACTGAATCGCGCCCACCAAGTGAAATCAAAAGTCAGAAGCAAGGAGGTTGAAAGATATATTTGATAGATTATCAATATATCGAGGAGTGACTGATCTAATCTGTGTAGTGATCGCAGGAGATGTTGCGCACGCCGTTCCAAACCGTGATCTGGTGCGGATGCATGATCGAGTGCCTTCAGCTAAATGAGTCCATTAAAACCAACGTGGTCAACATTCAATGTCGAACAATTACAAAGTTATTGATTTTAGAGATTTGTAGCGCTTCTTGTAGAGTTTCAGGTTTTAGGCTGACGATATTCTTGCAGAGATAGCTAACAGAAGAAACAAGTACTATTATAAAGTAATTACGAGAAAGCATTGGAATGTACGAATTTCTAATTAGGATATCTTAATTAGATTGAAATATGTATATTAACCTCAAGTGACCAGATTGCCCGAGATCGTATGTGATGTTCTCCGGAAGTCAGTCAAAGCATCTCTCGCTAACGTTCAGATACGGGAGCTGACAATTATTTATACTTTACGTGGAAGTGAAAGTAAAACAGACATCGGTAATTACATATTCCACAGGACGATTCAAAGTAATTACTTTGGCGTGTGTTTAGGAAAAAGTAGACAATTCGGCGTCCATTTTGTCGAAAAGTAGACAATTGACGGACATAAAGGAGAAAATCTGCATTATTTCTATGTCCACGGTTCCGAAGTGCAGTCTGTCCAGAGAACCAAATAACACAAGCCTTGGAAGTTGCGAGCTAGGCTTTCCTATGTGACGCGAGAGATAAGGTAAATAAGCTTGAATGGCGATCCTAAGAAAGGGTGTGCTAAATGCACTTTAAATATGTGATTAAATACCGGTTTCTCGTTTTATATTAGTTTCTGACAAATATTTATACGGAAATAACTATTTCCTGACTATCTTATTTTCAGCTGGCATCGCAAGGGTTCACAGACCTAACTGTAAGTTTTTTTATTTGGCAAACATTATTGTTATACCACTGGTAAACATTATAGATTCATAGGCTGGATAATGGCTATGACACAGAGCAATTGTTTGTCTACTACAAGCTATTCGTCTGTTTTGATACTGCATTTGTAATACAGAAGAGTGACTTTTTCTCTTTCTAGAACACTGTGAATCAAAGTTTAAGACCAACCTGATGTACTTATTCAGCACACATGAACGATTGTTGAGAATTGGAAGCAGTTATCTATTAATGGATAATCTGTCTTTTTTGAACTTCATTGAACGTTTTCATTTATAAAGCATGTATTTTAATCACGGCAATGCTTATCTATCGTGACACTTTTAATTGACGTGGTAGCATAGTACACCATGTTCAGGGTTGTAGTATTTGGTAAACGGTCTGTGTGACTAATCGCGTGTGCGCCAACCTGGTAATCCTTAGACACGGACGCGAATCAACATTCTTATGTTACCTAACCACATGAGACTGCACAGTACACTCTCCCTGCCCAACGCTACAAGAACGAGTTAATAGCCATATAAATAAATCCATGTAAAATTGAAAAGATCACGATATTAGAACTTCTTGTTATCAAGAGGCATATATATGGTCAGTGCGAGCAGTGGATTCTGACGATGTAACTCAATCATTACCACCAATTGAACTCATAACTTCTGTACATATATCTTCCCAAAGATATGAGCATATATATGTTTATAAGGCATGAACGGATAAGTTCACTGGCCAGAGGTTCACTAAGAGCATGGATTGAGTGGTAGTCATTAGTGAGCTTGTCTGGCAGATCTTCACTCCCTCTGTGATTGACACGTTGTCCAACGCACGGAAAACCAAGTCCATCATGTATTTCCTCTTCCACCGGTTGCTATGTTGAAATAAGTCTACAATGCTTATAGAGACAAAGAAACACACAATTGCATTTACGAATTAGATCTTCGGAATATACATACAAAAAATTACTGCAGGGCAGCATGTAGACATTGAAACGCTCACGAAATTGCGTGTATCATAAGTACCGCACATTACGTCTTTAAAGTATCCCAGTAGTCTTACGTATTCTCGTCGTTCTTGCCTGCAAAGAGCACACATAACAGTGTGCCTTTGCCCAGGACTATCAGTATCCACTAGCTGGAACACTAAATATATTCCTTTTTATTCGTTACTTGCCCAAATTTGTTGGTCTAGCAAGTCGAGACGCGTGGTAAATAACTATTCACTCATGGATATTCAATCATGGATATGTTCTCATTTTCATTGAATACCTTCAGTATTTGCCTGGGCGTGCTGCAAAATGTTTATATATTTGGTGTCTAAACTGAAATAATTAGAATGTGAATTTAACAACCTGGGTACAACTGTGATCGAATTTTGGCGATATCGTTCTTGGTAAGCTGTTTATGAAACTTCCAAGAAACCACATGTCGCAAGCAACGAGTTGGCGTATTACTCAATAGAACGTAACTTGACGTCATCTGTCGTTTGAGAGGATCTACAAAAATATATCCTTCTGTGCGAGGACATTTGTAAGGTCATAATATGGGTGAGTTTTAGCCTGCCATTTACAGTACGGACTTAATATCCAGATCAAGATAAACAATATTTCGACTTAGTGTGCGCAGAGTGTAAAAATAATTATCAACCACAGAAGTCCTATTACCCAAACAACGAATAAAGGGGGAAATAGTAGGTAGACGCGCCAAAATGTCTGCTTTTTCGCCTATCGGGGGGAAATGATAAAGGTTTTCATCCTATATGTCGCTCTGCGTTTCAAATGTCTACTTTTCATCTATATACACACCGATTTGTCTAATTTTGCATCTTCTCTTAAAACACTTTTGGCATAATCCCAAACATCTGTGTCCACCTTCATTCCCACAACACATCATACAAAAGCAGCAATCGACGTAAAAAATGGTACATGTTCAAATAAATTTATTTGAAAAAAAGGTGTATTGTTATACAAAATTATGATTTGTTGTTAGACGCAAGAGCATCAATCGTTATATTTTTATTGTAATTTCCAAGAGTCATTGTAATTTAAAAAGAGCTACGAAAGAAGTAATAAGTGATGTGTTATTACTAAGACACGTGTACTTAATTGCAAATGCATTTAAAACCAAACAGTCTTTCCTAAAACTTAGTCAAAGAGTTTCCCACGCAAACAAGAAAGTAAGCACGTGTTTAAAAAAAACGTTTATTGAAATAGATTTGAACATGATAAAGATTCCACTGATTATTCCTTTTCGTAACGCCTGTTGGACTATTGAGAATCAGAATAAACTTGTGAATTCGAAAATTTAAAGAATGAAAAAGTTATTATATCTGAATGACATGCTTTCACACAATTAGTTAATTGAAGCTGAACTTACGGTTATGTTCGTTAACACTGAAGACTGTATTCATAGAGCATTAGACACTAGTATTCACTTTAAATTAGTAAATACATGTTCCTTCTTCTTTCGATTAAGCTTTTGTACCTTGTCTCTCAGGTTGCGAAAATAACCTTGCGTCGCGATGTCGTACAGTTTCGCAAGTCTTTTTCGTTGACAGATAATGACAGGAATCAACGAGTTAATGCACCTGAAGTGTAAAAAAATAGATGTTACTTCGTATGCAGCCGTAAAACCTGCACTTCTAAAGTTCTTGTTTTGATGACTGGCAACTTCGGATGTCATAATGTACTATAAAATATATCATTTTGACGTTTCAGGATCATCATACATCAACCACATCAACATGGTCAACTGTAATACGAACAAATGATCAAATTAATGTAACTGAATTACAAATCTATCCATTATTTCTTTCTCTCTGCAGACAAGCGTCCAATGTTCTCAGTTCCACTTCAGAAGATAAATGAAACTGTTGACTTGATAGTTCACAACCAAATTGCCGCAAATGTTCGCTCCCAGCGGACTTCGACAGTAGCTGCTTCATATTCTAACTCAGGTCAGAAATACCTGACGATATGTTCTGCAGTACAGCATGCAGTTTGTCAAATCTGAAAAACAACTTGATCATACAAGTGACTTACTCGGCTGCTGACGCACTGCCTTCACGCCTAGATTCGAACGTTGATCGTGACGTATCTAATTGTGTCGAACTATTTAATTCATATCGACAAGGTAAAAAAACCCACTTGGCAACCGGCGAGGTGACACTTTCGAACAAACTAGATTTGGGGTATTGAACGTCATGAAATCCTATAAAAAATATATTAAAGTATTCACTTCATACACGCACCATTATAATTCAGAAACCTTTCGTTGCTGTAGCTATTGGATGATAAAGTTGAAGGAATCTCATTAAATTCTTAAGTTGACTGAACTCAATCCAAATCTAAAAACTTCTTGATTTAATCGCTTCTGCAAAACTTCACGGATTGTCAAGGTGACGCGCCAATAATATTACGACGGCTTGACCTTGAAGTGCTCTCAACCTCCATCGGTGGACGATACGCCTGAAGCGTTGCCTAAGTATGTCATTAGTCTTCGTCCGCAGTCTGAGTGTATGCGTTACAAAAACTGAGTAATTGTTGGTAAGATTTTATTTTAGGTGTTAGTAGAGATGGTAACTCGATTTTTAAAGTGACGAACATCATCGGTCAGAATAAAATTCAACCCACTTATCATGTCCAGGATGGAGTTATTAATTTCAGTTAGCTGTTTAGATGGAAAATTAGTTAGATGTTATGCACAAACTGACATAAATTATAATTCATGCATGGTTTGTATCCGTTTCTGTGTATGTGATGAATTATAAACTAAGTGGAGTTGTATAAGTAGGAGAAAGTTAAAAATCTATAAACAAGCGAATGCAATGAAATAATTACATAGATAACAGCATGAAAAATCAGTTAGCTGTAAATGACATGCATGAGATAAGTCAAAAATAAAAAACAACAGAAACTTGCCGGAAACTTATAAGGGTAAGACGTACGAGTACAAAACTGGTCCCTTATTTTAATGTATATATTCAACTTCTATAAAAAGCTTAAGAGAATGGTATATGATTACATACGAGATTTTTTGATCTCTTCTTGAATTCCCACTGAGGGAACTGTGGTCACATCGTCTGAGAGATCATCCTAAATAGACATTTTCGATAAACTATTTTATTTTATTTATTTATTTATTTAAACACATATATATTGGTACAAAAGGGCACCAGGTACATATGCGCCACACAAAATAATGAAAGTAGGAAGAGAAGGGATGAAAAGATAAGGCGGACTAAAATGTACAACCAGAAGACTCTTTCAGTTAAGAAAGTTAGAACCATTCTTTATGTAGAAAGTAAAAGAAGGTTGCAGCAGGATCGCCACTGGCTTCTATTCTGAGCCATATCTGATAACGTCTCTAGCCACTGTGTTGCACCATCTCTCGGACCCCAACCAAGGAGTCGTGAAGGACCAACAGAAGCTAGCCCTTTGCAGCTCTCTTTCATGCCACGACACCATGTCATACACTGACTTCCTCTCCGCTTTTTCCAACCAGTCCCAGGGTCGGCAAATAATGCACGACGTGGAAGTCTCTGGGACGACATTCTTAAAACATGTCCAAGCCACCGAAGTCGGTGTTTCAAGATGGTGACACCAATTGAATTATCGTCTCTGTGCCCGAACACACGATGCCGAACCTCTGCATTACTAACATGGTGTTGCCACTGGATGTCAGCAATCCTTCGGAGACAACGATGATCGAACACAGAGAGACGTCTAACATCCTCAACTCGGAGAGGCCAGGTTTCACAAGCATAGAGCGAAACTGCTCTCACCGACGCGTTGTAAATCCGACTTTTTACAGCCAGACTAACATCACGAAGGCGCCAAAGATGGCCCAGATTGGCATAAGCCGATCTGGCTTTCCTTATACGTGCATCAATCTCATCACTCACGCCACCAACAGCACTTATATAGCTACCTAGATACACGAACTTCTCAACTACTTCGATCTGCTCACCATCCAGGGTGAGTACAGGATTAGAATCCTGCCAGTCTTGTAGAAGTACTTTGCACTTGGAGGGTGCAAAGCACATGCTGTACCTGCGGACACTGATTGCCAACTGATTAAGTGCTGATTGCATGCCTTGGGCATTATCGCACAGTAAGACAATATCATCCGCATACTCAAGGTCGAGAAGTCGTTCTCCAGGCAACATATTCACACCGCCATTACTTACATCCACCAGAGCTGTTTCTAGGATGTCGTCGATGGCAAAGTTGGAGAGGAATGGTGAGATCGGGCAACCCTGTCTAACCCCCACAGTCCTGTCCAACGAATCGAAGGCCGCCCTGATATCAAGAAACACTACGATCGTTGGCCTGCGATAAGTATGACGGTGTTCTAACATTTGGCGGAGGGTGAAGATGTGATCAATGCATCCTCGACCAGAACGAAAACCAGCCTGCTCCTCGCGAGTCAATCGTTCTCGGGTTTTAAACAACCTACGAAGAATGATAGAAGCCAATAGTTTGGACGCAATCGGAAGTAGACTTATCCCCCGATAGTTATTGCAGGAACAACGTGAACCCTTTTTAAAGATAGGGACGACTATTGACTCATTCCATGATGTTGGAACACTATCTTGCTCCCAAACCTTTCCAAACAACACAGTCAATTCCTTAGTCAGAAAGTCGCCACCATCTTTAAAAAGAGCCGGAGGTAAGTCATCTGGGCCAGGTGATTTGTAGCGCTTCAAGAGTTGGAGTTCCTTGCGGACTTCCGCCTCGTTTGGTGGAACAGTCGTCACCGGCCATGGGGGGCAGGACAAGCTGGTTGATGTTGCCGGAGCAGCAGGCCAGTTGAACTGCCCTTCGAAAAATTCCGCCCATCGTCCAAGACGTCGGGAGATGTTAGTGATTGGCATCCCATCATCCTCGTAGATTGTTTCACTCACACCAGACTTCTTGCTGCCAGTGGCTCGGATGAGTTGGAAGAGCTTCCGGCAGTTACCAGATGCAGCTGCTGCTTCCATCTCATTAGCACGCTCCGACCACCAGGCTTCTCGGTCCTTACGCAAGCTTTGCCCAATTTCATTACGTAACAGCCTTCGTTTGTGGTCAAACTCATGGTCACCCGGAGTAGACCGACGGGCTTCGATCAGTTGTAAGGAGCCAGAAGAGACCCAGTGCTTGTAAGCGGGACGTTTCGCGAAGCCGCAAGCGGCTTTACTCGCCATTTTCATGGCGTCGTGAAGATGCAACCAATGCTCATCTATACTTTTCGGTGGGATGGTAGCTAGCCTAGAGGCTAGCTCCGCTCGATACTTACTTGCAACAGGAGTTGCAGCCAGTTAACTAATATCAACCCGTTGGTGGTGGTCAATCCTTCGGCCACTGAAAAGTAAGGTGAGATTGGCGCAGACCAGGGCATGATCAGACTCCAGATAGGTACTCCGAAAGGAGCGGCAGTCTTGTACACAACCACGCCAGCGGTAGCTGATCGCGATGTGATCAATCTGAGTCCAGGCTTGGGATGCAGAGGGAGGACGCCAGGTGGCACACCGGCGATGACTGTGCCGGAAGTTGGTGCTGGCCAGAAACAGGTTGTGGTCTGTGCACAGTTACAGCAAACGGTCCCCGTTATTTGTCCTGCGACCAACAAGTCCCCATCGGCCACCTAGACGACTCTCTTCTACGCCTAGACGCCCGACCTGTGCATTCAAGTCTCCGGCTAGTACTACAATATCTGTCGAACGCGCTTTCTGGAGAAGAACTGTTAACTGATGGTAAAACTCATCCTTGATTGCATCCGGGCTGCAATCTGTCGGAGCATAGGCGGAGATGACGAAAAGACACCGTTTCTCACGCCGGTTTCTTCTCACTTTGATGGAACTTTCTAATCTAACAGCACATAACCGACTGTTAATGGGGTTCCAATCGATTAGTGCTGCCTCAGCCCTAGCGCTTAGTGCGACGCCAACGCCAGCAAGACCAGACGAAGATGCCACAGGGTCCCCGGATAAGCGCACGTGGAACAAGCTTTTCGAGGCGACAGATGGAGAGCGGATTTGTAGTACTTCACTAGAGTCTTGAATACGGGTCTCGGATAGACAACAAACGTCAACATTAAGACCTTCCAAAGACAGAGATGGGATTCAATGGGGATTACTTTATTAGGGTGTCTGAAACCACTAAATTTTACGATTATTAGGTTGCCTCTTATTCTTTTATGCTCTATTTTGAATAGTTTCAGGTGATAATTCCTTTTTCCATAAATTCGTCCTCTAAACCTATAATCCACTCGGTTGCACATCTAGCGCTTGCAAAAAGTTGTAAAGAGGAGTTGAGATTCTGACTAGTGCCTTATGTTTTCTTAACATCCAACTGACGAACGCACACGTTCTCCTCGTTTTCATTCCTCGCTGATCCGAACATCCTACGCTCCACCATCATTTATATTGTCAATCGGTGTTAAGTCTTCCATAAAATACATATAACCTCGACCTTACAGTAGATATCTATGATCACGAGGTTGACTTTATGGAAAAAATTATAAAGCTCGAATCGTTTCCAGTTACAAACTGGTCTCATCATATGGTATCAAAGTATTCCGCGTCTTGACATGTTTAAATGATTAAATTAAAGTGCAACTGACATATCGTTTTTAACTCTTTCGGATCATTTGTTTTGTGTTCAATATTTAACCTTACCATCACTAATAACACCGTTATTTTAACGCTTTTGCTATTTGTCGTGTTAATTTACCTCACCTCACTAACATGATGTGATAGCTTAGAATAATACACCTTTGTGTAAGGTCCTACGTCGATTAAAATGAACTTAGTGCTCCTTCGTCTCATACTAATTTCCTTTTCTTCACTTCATTTTTGTTTTCGATTTCGGGGCCACATCGGTACGTGCATCTTCATTTTCTGAAAAGCTTTAGTATCGGTATCCCCGTTTCATCATTCTATTGTTTTGCAACAGATGCAAGATATTTCATAAACATATACATAACATCATTCTATGTATCCGGCGTCTTCCACACAAAAAATGACCTCAACATACTTTTCACCGGATAGCATTGTAACATTTTGCATTGTCGTGATGCAGTTGACGAAAATATACCACGGTGTTCTCTCCGAATTTACAATTCTTTTTTTGTTTACCTGTTTTTCTGTCTCAACCTAGATGAACAGTCTTGTTGGAAACGCGATCTGGCAAAGTTAGTTCAATTTCCTCTAAAACCAAATATCCCAATAAGTTTTGTTATGCCAAAAATAGAGTATATTGGTCGTCCATCTTTACACTTCTATGGCAAGCTCTTGTCAGAAATTGCCAAAAACCTTAAAAATCGCGCCAAAGGTAGAGTGGTAATAAAGGAAACTGAGACAGCAAAATTCAAGGAGCCATGCTATTACATTTTAAAAAGTGTTGTTCCACTTATGTCCGATAAGGTTAGTCATATTTTCAATAATATGTTTCTGTCTATGTGAATCGCATATTTCAGTCCTTCAAATCTCAGGTCATTAGTAGTTTTAATCCAATCGTTTACATTTTTTATAGGTTTGTAATGTAACTAACGTAAATATAACTGAGGAACCTGACAAGTAGTGATTCTCATCAATAGTGATATGCATATCAATATCACCTATTCGCTTGAATTGAAACAGGTGAAGTCAATAAAAAATGTTTTTCTGATTTGTGGTAGCCAGATATTTTGATTTCCAAACTAAAGCTTCAGTGTACTAGTTAATAGTATTAAAGTCTCAAAATATGAAAGTGAATTTATGACGTTCCAAAGAATGGTTGTGTTTTCGGTCACTAGTCGTACAGTTTGAGTCGAAAAACCTCTTTAACCTCAAGTGATTTATTCATCAAAGTAGGGCTTGTTATTTCTCGTTTTCTTTTAAAAAATTATTTTAAGGACTGAATCAGTCAACTTTTGTCGAAGCATTGTATGAATGCCTTCATATTGTGTTAGATCTTATTTGAATTAATTTTACTTAAGACGATAAAATCGAGCCCATCATTCATTGTCTCTTATATTAGAGGCTAGTGACCTACAGAAGCGATGAAACATTAAAACACACGAATGGATATGCTTTACTTTGATTCTTACACTAGTCGTAATCAAAAATCCACAATAATGTTTATTTTGCAAACAAAATTATATTAGTGCGTAATTGAAGACAGCTGTATTAGACAGTGTTTTGACTTACCAATCGCCATTATTCGTATAATTCCAGCTCTGTTTGTTAGATCGAGTGAAACTGATCGGTTTTTATTATTTTATTTAAACACATAAATATTGGTACAAGGAAGCACCAGATACATATGCGCCGCACAAATCTCACTTGACTTGTGTGAGGGCTGTGATACTGCCCAAGTGCCCAAACTGAAGCAGGTGGTTTTCTTAGGGGGCCACACCCGGAGCCTTTGACCTAAAGGTCTGATCCACAAGGTAGTGGAGCATCGTGATGAGATGCAGTCCCATGGTAGCCGGTGACCAACGATTGATTCATACACCATTTGTTCCCTCAGGATACTGGAGCCCATATGCACCATTGGTTTGGAATCAGGGTTTCCCAACTCCCCTAGGTGGACTCTCCGTGTCCACCAACCCGGTTAAAGCACCGGACATTCGCTTTTCATCCTCTCAATTTCGTAGACAACAATAGTGCCACGAGAAGGCAGTGAGTAAGACTTCCCTGTCCGTGGCCATATACACGTGACCATGTGAGAGCATTTCGAGAGGGAGAGCGGACTCTCCCCATTCTTGGCCGTACAAAGGCATTTGGGGGCAAAGTATGGTAACTGACTGTTGCAGTAATCAAACACAAATATAATTCACCCTACTGGTGTATTTCGTGGACAGGCCATTACCTTTTATGGTTAGTATTACTATCATCAAATCATCCTTAGTATAAAATACGCTTGAAATTTGTTTTAGTCATACAGTCTATGTTAAATAATCACAATTAATGGATCATGACATATATTATTGCCAAAAACAAACGTTTTCATGCCTCAGTAGTACTTAACCGCTATTGTTGCCATAACTTTTCAATATTACCAGAGTTATGGTCGTAACTAATCAGCATATATCATAATATTAATTACTGAATTTTACAGGTTCTTAATCTACAGTGAGGTATATTGCTGTGATAGTACAAATGGTTTCTGATTGTTCTTGATGTCTTCATTTAAAAAATGGTCTCAAACTAATTTGCTGGTTTTTATCGACCTTTTTTATGTCGTTACTTCGGGTACCAAATCTACTTCGTACTATCAACTGATTTCCTAGGGAATCCCCATCTCCGAAGTATCTACAGTGAATAGAGCGAAGCAAAACTACCTTGTCTATCAATTTTTCCAAAGCTGTTTCCGTGGATATTTTGTGTTCTATTTGTCAGGATATATTTTCGTAGATCTACAGTAATAATGACCTTCAAGGTTATTCGTCATACATATTTAGGGAGTATGGCTCTGTAAGGTATACATATATTTAGTTCATTGTTGATTCAAAAATAGAAAGACTAATACTGGACGTTGTTTGTAGAGTTCAGCACTATGTACGAGTCTGTAGAATAAAAAATATCTTTCATGTTAATTTCACTGAACTTGATAAGATCTGTCATTAGAAATTTAGATTTAGCATCACAGTTGAGTGATTAACGTTATCATAATTGGTATAGATAAAACTTAGTTTGATGTACTACATGTATCTCTACTGAAATGTTCTACTTATCACCTTTTCTAAAAGAACTTACTGTTTAAAGTAACTCGAATATACTCATTCTAAATAGTTTAATCAAATGTGTTTATGTTTACGAGTTTATTTTTGCTGCTGAATTGTTTATTTTTATCACCAACTACTTGTGTTCATTTTTTTAATGAAGACTGATGTTAGATGTAGAGCATGGGGTATACGGGTATTCCGTGGTCGAAATCTTGGCTATTGTCTCCTACCGAATACACATGAACCAGATTGGCGTCTTTTGTCACCTAGTGAAGCTGAACGTCTAACGTCCATGTCAACAAAAACCGATATGGCCGCTCCAGATGTTCCAGTTAGCTGCGTCGCTCAAGCTCCTCCTTTATTGACAATATTCCTGCGAAGAAAAAATGTACTTCCATCACAAGTAGTGGAAGAAGCTGAAAAATCTACTCACTCTTTAGATATACAACAATCAATGAGAGAAGCTAGTGGTTTATTATTGTTAACACCTCACCGCTATGATCCAACAAGTTTTAAAGTAAGTACTGTTTTGGCTTTTAAGAAAAATGTATAAATTCGTTTACTACTTCCTACCAGTTGTTTTTTTTTCTCTCAGTATGTCTTACCAATTATGAGTGGGTGTGTCAGTCGCAACGTAGAACCTGGTATGTGTATACATCAGTTCAAGTTTCCATACTCCGTTAGCAGAGAGAGATGAAATTGTCAAGCCGAATTCCAGAATAATTGAGGTGATAATAGTGTGAGTGGTGGCAGAAATGATTGGACATCGAAGTTAAGATTTAGAAATATATAAGTTAAGGAAATAGAAACAAAAAAGGTCCTTAGGAATTCAAAAGCTCAAAATCCTGCATGCGGGATCGTATTTTGCCTTAAACCTGACAATTTCTTATATTATTAACTTGGATATATAATTGTAGAGCCTGAAAAGAATTTATTAAAATGAATATTATTCGTTCATATATCTATTTGAATTGTGTTTCAAAGGAAATATAGCCGTCCTCTACACTTTCATCCACAATTATCACTGAAAATTTATTTGTATTATAATTTTTTTACTCCCTAATATTCTTTCTCCTGCTTTCCTTGTTTATGAAATACCTATATTACGTAATATTGTAATGTCTTTAAAGAAAACTGATATGCCAGTGTGGGAACTTGCAACTAAGTACTGATTACTACGGCTATTTGCTAAAACTGCAAAATACTTTTATCGGGTACTCATTGCAACGGGACGAGGTTACTAGGTTGGCTCAAGAGAAAAAAACATGACTATAGAAGCAGACTAATTTATCTACCATTAACTACTAACTAAATGACATATACAGTAATACTAATGATAACATTAGTAATGAATTATCATTTTAAATGCTTAGGTTAATTAATAAATAGGATAGAACTAGTCGTTAATCAGTAATCTAATTTGTATAGGATTTGCAAAATCAATAAGTTCACCGACTTGACTGAGAAATATAATTCATCTCTGAATCATATACTTTGTTTGTTCCCAAGAAGTATCTTATATTCTGCTTTATTACTTACGCATGTTACACCTCGTGGAAGAGCATAGACTGCCCACCAGCATTCTCCATCAAAGTCTGATGATGAAAAGGAGGAAGGAGGAGGAGGAAGGCAAAAATCAGGATCTGATGCAGACGTCCAGGCTTTGCTTTATTACTATTGATTTCTATTCATTTATTAACCATATTCCATTTGTTAGCCTACTCACAAATTTTTCGTTTTACTTACTATATATCCTGGATTTATTACTGTCATCTTCCGAACATTTTCGCTCTTATTAGTGTATGGTTTTGACGCACATACTTCTAGTGTTATCGGTTCGTTTGAATTTCATATTTCCTTACTTTTAGTGATTGGTCATTTTATTTGTCTCTAAATTAAGGTTTTTGGCCATAGATGTGTTCGAAGCATTGCTTGTGCTTTGGGCAACAACTGAGTAATGTTGATGTTAGGCATGGAGTACTTGGCAAAGATGATATATTAATTGATAATGTTGTAAATCTTCATTGACTGAGGTGATTAGGATATGTGTTACGTAATCTTAAACACAGCCTACCCCAACGAGCTATACTTGCTAGTTCAGAAGTACGTTGGAATGAAGTTAAACGAAGATGAGGCATCAGTGAATGAAGTCATAAACTGTTAGACTAAGCCGTGTTGGTAGATGCAGAATGCCTGTTTAGAGTCCGCATAATAATCTCGAGCAGTTGTTGGGGATGTTGGCCAAAATCGGTTATAATTGCGTCGGCGCACCCACTCTAACTTTCTCTTGACTTTTGATTTCAGTATCTCGTCACACATACCTTTCCACTCTGTCTTTCCAAGCCATATTCCCAAGTATTAATGTTTCTTTTTATAATTGCTACTACATTATTTCAACCTCTTTCATTATTTTCATATCGTTGTGCTGATTTGATGTAGCAACTTGAACCAACCCACATATGTGCCAATCTCTATGTCGATACTATATCTGTCTATGTATCTAAGTTGTATTCGACATCAGACTCAGCATTATTTCGCTTTTTAAATTCAACTTCATTCATAATAAAATGGCGTTATATTTGTAATATTCCAACGAACTTAAAGTTAAATCTCTGACGTCCCGCGACTCAGTTTAAATTACTTCTTCAAAGAATAAATTGAAAGCCTAACTAAATTGCAAGTTTAAATGATGCAGATAAACAAATCACGAAATTTTTAATACAATCAAAACAGCTATAATCATGATGATTTCATGTGGTTAGTGTTAAAGATGAGGAATAATGGTAACGTTACGACTAAATGATCTGATATCCAAACCTATTGGCCTGTTAAAAATTCCTCTGTTACTGGTCCTCAATCTGAAAGCAGGAATACGACAAATGATAAAACCTCTACATGTGTAGCCTATAAATTCACATGATTAATTGGATGAATTGTAAGGTTACAATGCACCATAAATAAAAAGTCTCCATATGTACTAAACTAAGGTGTTCAGGGCACAAAATTGAAATAATAGACTTATAATTAATGCACAATAGATTGAGAACAAAAAAAGGTTTGAAAATAGTAAACTAAATGGTACGTTGGAATTCTTGGAGTTTAAAAACCACTTAGACTCAATATTAGTAAATTGCATGTTACAAAATATGAGTACTAATGTATTCAAAAGCAGTTCACAAAGTTTGTCATTCTCATTTGTCTATTTCATCCTAACAACATGACTATATTTTCTGTGTATATTTAAAAAAAATCTTTTTCTATCTAATTTAGGTCCCTATTGAACCGACTTCCGAGGAGAAATCACGTATGCACCCTCCGTATGAATGGTCAGCTAAAAAAGGACTAATTATAAAGCCAAATTTAGATCGAGATTCTTATTTAATTCGTCGATCTGATACACCTGGATTGTATTGGCGTGTTCATTTAGCGAAATCCTCAAAAGCAGAACAAGATAGCGAAACAGTTTCATAGACAGGAAGTTGTTATCAGAAGAAAGGGATTAGCCATATTCTTGATTGTTGATAATACAGTACTTATTTATGTATATACTACTTCTATTAGGTGTTTTATTTTATGCTATAGGTGGTGAAATATAGAGTTCCTAAGTAAATCTTGTAGGACTTGTAGTAATGGCGTACTGCTTTTAGTTAATATATACTGTTATAATCCTGGATAGTATCACCAGTCACAAAATGGACGAGACTTACAGTCAATGCATAATTACAGAGCTGAACTATGTAATTATTTAATTTGTCGCAACTTTTGGCCTAAAATAGAATGATTATTAAGACTTGTCATTTGAATGGATGTGTATCAACTAGTGGTGAACTCTCTCGGTCTTCATCGTTAAACTATCATGATAGGAGTACCTTTAAGGAAGAGGTTATTTATCCGTGACTGTTCAACAGTTTATTTTCCTTCTAAAGGTTCTTATAATTAAATTAAAGTCAAGAGATGGCATATTCGTACTAAACTTATGGTTGTCAATAATATAGGCAAACACTTCTAACACCAACTGTAGCGAGTAAAAATCTGCCTTCTGTATCCTCAAGTAATTAACAAAGGAAGTCAAATTCGTACTTAAAAAAGTGATTAGGTGTACAGCTATTACGAGCTATTTTTGATGATCTGACCAATCTTAACGTAGAGAAATAGTGGTAAGGCAATTATTTACTCGTAGTGTGTGGATGCTACTCACAAGATTGCTTGTAAGTAATATGTGGTGGGATGTGTCGTCGAAGTTGTCACAGTCGTCAGACGGAGAGAAGAGTCTCAGTACATCAAAAGCATGGAGAAAGCAGAACAGTTAGTGACCAGAAAAGAAGACAGTTCGAATTTCAGAGCATGCCGCAAGATGCAGATGATTGATCGAATGCCATGTATACGTATAGAAGACTAGCTCGGTATTTACTAACCTACATCATCTATAATACTGCATATGAGGAGTGAAAGTAGTATGCCAGTATTGGGAGGGAGAATCCGTCTGATTTTCTGCCCTTTATATCAGTTCAGTTACGCAGAAGAAAGCGAAGAAATAAATTAGGGATAATGAATATACTAACAGTAGTTCGGAGCTTAAGGAAAAATGAAATGAGTGCCGGACAATCCCATGTTTAAGCACAAAGAACGCTGGATGTGTGGTTGAATATATCCCTTCAATCCTTCCTATGCTGTGCTTGACTAAAGAATTAACAGCACTTGCCCAAAAATACGTTTTTTTGTTGGAGTAGATAAATGAATAAAATTAATCTTACAGTCAGTGACAATTAATGCAGTTACTAGTGTTTGGTTTGAGCCACATTGTTTAAAGTCTTAGGAACCATAAGTGACATAACTTAAAATTAGTCTCAAAGATTTAGATAAATCCTTTAATATCTTATTGTGTCCAAAATAGAATATGATTCATGTCCTGTCTATTGGATTGAATTGCTATACTCATCAGAAAAAACAAAAGTTTATGATGAGGTATTGAATTTAACAACTAGTTTATTTGGTACATAGTTGGTAGTAGGATCCAGGACGCGTGTTTTGTTTTATTTGGGACTTGTCATCTGAATGTGTCTGTATTCCACTGTTTTTGTTTACACTGAGGTCCAGAACCCAATTCCTATTAATTAAGCATGGATACAATATTCACTAAGTTGCTGAGTCCATATAGTCACTAACGTATTCAGCTGGTTCTCTATATATCCAATTTTTCGGCCCAAAACTAAAACATGATCATTTACTAAACATCTTGGAAGACTCCTATTCTAACTGTACTTACTTATTTACTTTCGCCTGTTACTCCCAATGGAGCATAGGCCGCCGACCAGCTCTCTCCAACCCACTCTGTCCTGGGCCTTCTTTTCTAGTTCTTTCCAGTTCTTGTTCATTCTTCTCATGTCTGTCTCTATTTCTCGGCGTAATGTGTTCTTTGGTCTTCCTCTTCTCCTTCGACCTTCAGGATTCCATGTGAGGGCTTGTCTTGTGACACAATTGGGTGATTTCCTCAAAGTGTGCCCAATCCACTTCCAGCGCTTCTTCCTGATTTCTTCCTCCGCTGGAATCTGGTTTGTTGTCTCCCACAGTAACTTGTTGCTGATAGTGTCTGGCCATCGGATCCGAAGTATCTTGCGTAGACAGCTGTTAATAAACACTTGTATCTTCTGGATAATGGCTTTCGTAGTTCTCCACGTCTCTGCCCCATACAGAAGAACTGTCTTGACATTTGTATTGAAAATTCTAACCTTGGTGTTGGTTGACAATTGTTTTGAGCTCCAGATGTTCTTCAGTTGTAAATATGCTGCTCTTGCTTTGCCGATCCGCGCCCTCACATCTGCATCTGATCCACCGTGTTCATCAATGATGCTGCCCAGATATGTAAAGGTTTCCACATCCTCCAAAGCTTCTCCATCAAGTGTAATTTGATTGGTGCATATTGTGTTGTATCGGAGAGTTTTGCTTTTCCCTTTGTTTATATTGAGACGTACTGCTGCTGAGGCTGCTGCTACACTGGTCGTTTTCTCCTACATTTGTTGTTGCGTTTGTGATAGAAGAGCCAGATCATCCGCGAAGTCTAAATCGTCAAGCTGCATCCTGCCTGTCCACTGTATCCCGTGCATTCCTCCAGATGTTGACGTCTTCATAATCCAGTCGATCACCAGGAGAAAGAGAAAGGGTGAGAGTAAGCAACCTTGCCTAACACCGGTCTTTACCTCGAACGAGTCGGTGAGTTGTCCTCCGTGGACGATTTGGCAGTTTAGTCCATCATAAAAGTTCCGTATGATATTGACTATCTTCTCAGGCACGCCGTAGTGTCGAAGAAGCTTCCATAGTGTCGTCCTGTCCACGCTATCAAATGCCTTCTCGTAGTCGATGAAGTTGATGTAGAGTGATGAATTCCATTCGATTGATTGTTCCACAATGATCCGCAGAGTTGCGATTTGATCTGTGCACGATCTATCCTTACGAAATCCAGCTTGTTGATCTCGAAGTTGGGCGTCCACGGAATCCTTCATCCTGTTTAACAATACTCGGTTGAAGACTTTTCCTGTTATTGAGAGAAGAGTGATGCCCCTGTAGTTGTCGCATTTGCTCAGATCACCTTTCTTTGGTATCTTGATCAGAAGTTCTTTTTTCCAGTCTGTTGGTACTTGTTCTTCGTCCCAAATCTTACTGAAGAGGATGTGGAGTATCTTGGCAGTTGCTGCTACATTTGCTTTCAGTGCCTCTGCCGGGATGTTGTCTGGTCCTGCTGCTTTGCCGCTCTTGATTTGTCTAATGGCCATGCTGATCTCTTCAATTGTTGGTGGGCCAATATCGATTGGGAGGTCTGTGGGTGCTGCTTCGATGTTGGGTGGGTTCAGTGGAGCTGATCGATTCAAGAGTTCCTTGAAGTGTTCTACCCACCTGTTTCGTTGTTCTTCAATATCGTTGATTACTTTGCCTTCCTTGTTTTTCACTGGTCTTTCTGGTTGACGGTAATTTCCAGCAAGTTTCTTTGTTGTATCATACAGTTGTCTCATGTTTCCCTCTCTTGCAGCCTTTTCCGCTGTCATCTCTAAATCTTCCACATATTTACGTTTGTCGGTCCTGATGCTCCTCTTCACTTGCTTGTTTGCCTCTGTGTATTCGGCTTGTGCCTTGGCTTTTTCCGCTCTTGTTCGGCTGATATTGATTGCTGCCTTCTTGTTCCTTCTTTCTTCAATTTTATCCAGTGTACCAACAGTGATCCATTCCTTGTGATGGTGCTTCTTTTGGCCCAGAACCTCCTGACATGTTGAAACGATTGCCTCCTTGATACCTTTCCAGCTGCTCTCTATGGTGGTTCCCTCTCCATTGAGTAGGTCATGAAAGGCCTCGAACCTGTTGCTGAGGGCTATGTTAAATTCGTTGAGTTTGTCAGCATCTCGAAGAAAGGCCGTGTTAAACTTTTGTGATGTTGTCCGCGCCGTTGTCCAGTGCTTCTTGAGTTTTAGTTTCATCTTGGCGACCAGCAAATGGTGATCGGATGCTATATCAGCTCCTCTTCTGGTTCTCACATCCTCCATCGTCCTCCTGAACTTTTTGTTGATGCAGATATGGTCGATTTTATTCTGTGTAGTGTGATCCGGTGAAATCCAAGTGGCTTTGTGTATGTTTTTGTGTGGGAATATGGTGCCACCTATGACCAGTTTATTGAAGGCACATAGGTTTGCAAATCTCTCACCGTTTTCGTTCCTTTCTCCCAGTCCATGTTGTCCCATGACGTCTTCGTATCCAGTGTTGTCCTTTCCAACCTTGGCATTGAAATCTCCCATTAGAATGGTCAGGTCCTTGGTTGGGCACTTCTCGAAGATTGACTGCAGCCTATCGTAGAATTGGTCTTTAGCGTCTTCATCGTAGTCGTTGGTCGGCGCATAGCATTGGATGATGTTCATTGTAATGCCCTCTCTCTTTGTTCTGAAGGAGGCTTTGATGATCCTCGGTCCATGAGATTCCCATCCTATAAGTGCATTTTGTGCTTTTCTAGACAGCATCAGTGCCACTCCTTGTGTATGTGGGGCATTTTCTTCTTCATGACCGGAGTATAACAGAAGTTCTCCTGAAGACAGTCGTTGTTGTCCAACCTGCGTCCAATGTGTTTCACTGATTCCAAGCACTTCCAGGTTGTATTTCCTCATTTCCGCAGAAATTTGGAAGACTCTGCCAGTCTCCCACATTGTCCGGACATTCCATGTACCTATAAAAATTGTCGCTCTGGTTGTAAGAAGGTGCATCGGCCTCATGACTTCCGAATGAACTCGGCTTTCATCATGAGACGTCATTTTTCCTTCTACTCCCAGGGCAGAGTTTGAATGGTTTGAATGATTTTTTCTGGTTAGCGTTTTTTTAGCGAGTTGATTTTCTACGGGATGGGGTCGCTAACCCCATGCCCAACCCTCCTCCTTTACCCGGGCTTGGGACCGGCAGTAGCCCCTGGAGGAGCTACAGGCGGAGTTTATTCTAACTGTAGCTACAACTAAAAAAAGATTTAGTGTGTAATAATCCACTATCGCGCCAATGATTTAGAATAATATTGTCACTCTTTGTAAACTTCAAGTCATATTAATATAATTCAACTGTTCTAGTAGTATCAGTGTAAGGGGTCAGTTGTAACTACCATTGTATGTTGATTTGTAGATGGAATCCTAGTTAACATTTTTCGAACTATTTTCGCTAAATCTGACTTTGATTTTTAAAGAAATTTACAAATAAAGAAATTCACTAACAATAAACTATATTCGGTATTATGCAATAGCATTAGAGTCCTTTTGATGTAATTTCAGTGGTCGAAGTCTTTTAGTGCGTGATCATAACAAACCTAGTCTTAGCATTCAAATTTAATTTAAGAAAAAAATTCCCGTTTATATTGACCTAATGCCATACTTTAGAACTGGCTAATTTCACATAGATATTTCATTTGGTTTTTAATAAAATATATTTATGTTTGCTGACTAGAACGAATTTCATCTGTTTTCGGACTTGAATAGTTGAGAACGGAGAGTTTGTCATTTAGTATTTTATCTCAATACATTTATCTACTTATGAGTAGTTAGATCAGTAGAACAAAATTTACAGAAGCGAAATTTAAATTTCATAGGAAAATAAATATTTGTAGTATATTATGAGTTTTAATGTCTTCCTTTACAAAAATTAACAGGAATGGAAACCAAGGTTATAATGATAGCTTATTTAATACTATTCATAGTTTGTACAAGTTGTTCAGTAAGGGATTTTTCTATGGATCTTAAGTGTCGAAGATCTCCATCGATTCCCTTAAAACGTATACCATATGTGTGAAATCTTGGCAACTGCACAACTTCCATTTCCCATTTCAACAAAGAAGATATTTTATCACAGTTATAACTATTTTTATAAAGTTTACCATGATCGGATTGTGACGAAATTTTAGGGTACTGACTATTGTTGTGTTTATTTTGACTTTGATAATTACAATGTACACGTTGTGAGCAGTGAATACGATAAGGACTGAGATGTACATGATCAATATAAGACTCCTTTACAACTTGATCTAATGTACTGAGTAATATTTTGAGATTTGGATTCTGTACAGCTACTCCATAGGACCAATTCAATTGACTTATTTTAGGAATGTGTGTAATGTGTTGTTGTGGACTGTTATTATTATGGCGAATGTTATTTATGTTATTAAGGTCCTGTCGGAAGGTTTCGCTATTATCTCGACATTGGCTGAAAATATGTTTGGTTGTACAACTATTTGAATAGTGCATATTTTGTACCTTTGAAGCGGTTGTACCTGTCAAATATTCAAGTGAAAACAAAGTTGAACTTTTAATCGTCGTCGAACTTCTAAACAGAATCTTTGTGATGTAAGAAGTGGTTTAGAAGGTGTTACAGTCAATAACAACTGGTAATCCTAATAGTTCAGTTAAAAATGAAACCACTGAACAAACTTTATTACAAACTTCGAAAATTAAAGTTTCAAATGTAACTAAGGTGATGTGTTAGCCTCGAGGTTGGTCAAACCTTTTTGGTGAGCCGGTTGGCTTTTCTAATAGGAAGGTTGTTTTTCCTGGAGCAAATACCCGTTATGTGTAAATGTTTTCGTGGGGAAATCATCGGGACCCGCTGGGTCTTGATGCGCTGGCGTCACAACTGTGACTAGTATACGTAACATCCATACGGGTAACATAAAGGTTTTCACCTATGCATTCTATGTCATACTTGCCTTTTTGGGAGGACTGATGGTTACCACTCCCGTCACTCGTGTTTGTTACATCTCATATGATATATGCATAATAGAGGTAAATAAGCTTGCGTCCATGGACATCTTAACATTCAGACAGGCATGGGCACATTTTTAGACAGACCTACCTTTTGTTTAATGGTAGGTCAGGCCCCGTTTGTGTGTACATTTCTTATTTTACTCATCACACGTCTGTAACTTATTTTTGTCTGACTATAAATATCAATTCACGTTTGGTTAAATTGAGTTGGCCAACACGTCTTCTTCAATCCATTTCGTTTCGCTTCCTTCTCTACGTCTATCTGATTGTTTTTTCTGATCAACGATCGTACATAATATACGTATTCAAAACTTCATTCTCGTATTTGATTTATTTTAATTCCGTTATTCACTAACGCTAGTTAAGTCGATAATTATATACGATGATAGACGATATGTATAAGCCGATAACGATAATCACACGATCCAACTGGAGTCAGATATTCAAGGTTCACTAAAATTTACTTTCAATCCTATTCAAAAATGTTTTGTTAATCACTTTAAGGCATTAAAACCCATCTCTCTGTTCAGCTTTATATCCCTCATTCTATCTGAACTAACTAGTTATGAACGTTATCTTATTTCCTAAATGTCTTATAAGTTGTTATTTTCTAAACAAAAATTTAATAAAATTGACTACATATTTTATGATATAGTTAAACTTACTGTTTATATTGTTACTAGTAATAGTAACAGTATTCTCTGATTCATAAGAATTTAAATTAGATTGACAGTCTTGTGATTTTACAAAGGATTTCCCAACTGAAGTGTCACATTTAACTAATTTAGCATTTGGTGTATATATGTATAATTTATCAAGTATTTCTTTTGGATTTTGCCCTTTTTCTTTCGTTATAGAAAATGATGGTAAAAAAGATCGTTTCTGTTCTTTAATGAACTGGTTATTATTATTTTCTTCATGAATTCTGTAAAAGAAAACCATTTAATAAGTAAAAATTCAGTAAATTATTTAAGTGCTACTGATATTTGTAAATAAGCAAACAGGAAAGATTAACAAACGTTTGAGTTGGAATCTTCCGATTATTACAAATGTATTAAGAAAAAAGCAGTGGAAATTCAGGACACGCGTTTCATTCTATTTGAAACTCATCAGCTGGGTATACCTGCATCCAGATTGATGTTTACTCCATGACTCGAACCCAGTAACTTTCGCTTCAAACGCTACAGCGTTATCCACTTAGCTACTAAGTTCAAATAGCCACTCGCTTGTGAAATGGGGTGAATTCGTTTGAATCCGCCGATTAATGTTTAGGACTGCAATTGGTCAATCTCTTTTGTATTTTTATTTGAATTGTATTCTGTAATGTCTTGTATTCTTATTGTTGCTCTTTCTGCTACTTAATTATGATACTATTTTGCTTTGTGTAATACGTTTGTATCAAATATATTTTTCGTGTTATAAAGTAAAGTAGAAAAAACCTTCGGATTATTGTCATGTTTTGTGTGTTTGTGGCTGATCATCTGCTCAAACTCCAATACAGTAATTCAAGAAAGTATCTTTTATGTGTTATACTCAATGTTTGTAAGTACGAGAACTTCAAGATGCTAATATCATGAGAAATTTCATTATGAACTGCAATAGGTTAGAGAGATATTGTTCATCATTTTTACTTCTTGCTAAATGATGAGTATTTGATGTCATTAGTAATTACTAAGTTACATCTGAAAAGTCATTTAATGTTCTTTAATTAACACTAGCTACTCTATAGATAATAAATTTCGGCTTTTAAATACAAACCGTAGGATCGAATTGTGACTAGTTCACTGAATCGAAATTATAAAAATAAAGGTGACAGTACGGCTATATAGGTATATGTGAAACAAATCTTGAATTTCGTTACTACTTAAATCATTTTAAATATACTAACGCCTCAAAGCCGAAAAGAAAGACCTGCTTTCCATGAATAAGATTTGATACGCTTGACAATCCTAAACAAGTTAAATTTTTCTGTACAGGCAGGTAAATTATATTCTAACCTAAGACTGTGTAATGAAATATAAGTTCAAACATTTAGCGGTCTGTTGTGAGTGGACTACGCATTTAAACTAGGTAGTAGCTCACAATCCCCCTGTCTGGTACCAAAGATCATTACAATATTTTCTATATGGCCAAACTCAGATTATTTTTTTGTCATTTTAATATGTCTTCTAGGATGATAATTAATTTTCCACGGATGACTTTTATCTTACTAATTATATCATATATGCGTTAGTGATAGGATAGGAAGAAAAACCCTAAGTTGTGTACAACTGCATTTAAACATAAGACTTTAGTTTAGTGAAATAATCACAGGAATTATATAATTCTATTGCATATAAATATGATTGATTATAAGCAACATCTTCAATACTAAAAAGCTATTTTCACAGAGAATCCACAATAATTGAGTCAAATATAAAGGGTAGTCTGACTATCATGAAACCTATCAATTATTATTTTAGTTTAATCAAATGGGTCTTGCCAGTCTGATAATGCTAGGCGCAATTCGGAGGAGAAAAGTAATGAGATTTCTTTTGTGCCGAACAATGAAATGGAATAAGCAGGCTTCTCTGAATATCTTTAAGGATGTAAAAAAGACAGTTGAGAATATAATATTCTGATTAAGTAAAGATGGATAGTGGCTAGCAGTGGAATCTAGGACGTGCGTTTCGTCCTATTTGGGACTCGTCAGCTGGATGTACCTGCATCTCACAGCTGATGTTCACTTTGGGACTATCCATCTTTGCTTACCATGCTTGTGAATTAAGGCTATATCGAGGCAATAAACATAGTATGCACATATGCCAATAAGAGACTGGCCAGTTGCAGTCTCAAACATCAATGAGAAGATTCAAACAAACAATACTAAATTGAATTTAATATTCTGATTGTTTCTTGCATTATAATACATATCAATGTATATTTTATTATTGACGTAGATGTTTGAATGTTATTTTTTCAAGAAAGTTGCTTAAATTTAGCTTTTATTTCAGTTTCAATTTGAAAGTCTAGTTTCAAAACCAGTATCTAATATACTTCGAATATAACTTACTCCTTGTACATATTTCCATTATTATGAGGAAATTTTCGTTCTGGTAAGTTATCTTTTTTTGTAATAGTAAATGTTTCTGATTCCTTTTTACTAAAACTACTATTTTTATTCAAACGATTCAATTCAATTTGTGGTCCTTTCAAATGAATAATATTCTCATCATTATTATAACCATTCTGTTTTATTTGAGAAAATTTATTATTTTCATACAATCTGATTGGTTGATTACGTTTAAGTGAAATTGTATTTTTATTGGTTAAATTAATAATTTTATATTGTTGATTCACATTTGATTGGTTGTGATTATTATTGTCTAGTTTAATGTTGTTAAAATTATTTACATGATTTGATATGTTTATTCTTATAGGTAATTTATTATTAGATGATGAGCTTTTAGGTAATGGTGATCGATAAGGGATATTTTTTCTTTCATTATGAAAAACAACTAATTTCAAATCACTTTCTTTATCCATTTCATATTTATCATTATTAGATGTTATATTTTCTAGTTGTTCTTCTTGAGATTTATATTGTGAATCAGTAAATGTAGGTTGGATTGTTACAGTATCGTTTCGTTGATATTTTGTGTTTTGATAGTGTGTATAATTGGAATTGTGATGATCTGATATTCCATTTTCATAATAGTAATCATTATTATTATTATTACTATTATTATTATTATTATCGGCATGTTGATTTTCGAATGAATTACCATCATGGAAGTATTGACTATCATGTTGATATATTACAATTGGTACTGTTGCCCTTCCGGTATGATCATATGGTAAATTATCCCAATTGGATGTTTTGTCGGTAATAATAATTAAATTTCGTTTTAAACGAGATTCTAATGAATCAGGAACTGCTGTTTGTGCTCTATCAATGATGAAGTGACGTTTTAAATGATTTTGCTTATATAAATTTGTACTTCTGTATTTGGAAAAATAACAATGTGAAATAAACTGTCTTTAAGATATTCTAAAAAATTGTAAAGAATAATTTATTTGGTGTGCTTATATTGACTAAAGAAGGTGTGCAAAGCAAAACAAATTATGAATAATCCTCCTTACTCTGTTAGGAGATTGAAAAGACAGTTTTATGTAGAGTTCATGAGTTTCAGATCTTTTGATAGGCAGAATAAAATTCAACCACAGTCCCAGTTTAAGGTTTCAGAATTGTAGCTTAAGTAAATAGAGCTGTCCATTCATATGTTGTGCTCGATTGGAGCCAGTGTAGGAGACTACCATTAAATCAAACGATCTCTACTTACTGTAAATTACGATATTTCTAATTGATTAAAGGAAAATTCGAATTCAATTTATATCTGATTTTCTTACATAAGACATTATAATCCCTAAACAGCAATCGCAAGATTACAAGCATGATTACAAATTTTATCGATTTTTAGTAGAAGTGTAGACCAGGGACGGGTCATATTAAAATAGATTTTTCTGTAGGCAACTGAAGTCTTGGATCTAGGTTTCGTACAAGCTAAGAATTATCAGTAAAACTTATTTATAATCCTCTATATACGATTTGTACCCACGTCATCCACTGTTACTACTGCAGACTTTATAGCCAGACTACTCAGGCTTCAATAGCAAATATAGTTCATCCTGAAATAAATCAAATCATTCATTGAATGTGAGAGTATGTGCTCAGCCGTGGCTCACACTGATTTTATGCAAGAACTTATAACGCTATCCGATCCCTTTAAACAAACTAAGTAGATTGGGGTTTGAACCTGACAGAATTTAACAGCCTGGTCACAAAGCGAATCCTCTTTACTGTAAAGTCGAGTCACCTTATCGAATAATTAAATTAATAGAACATTACCAGCCCTAAGAATTAAACAAATTGGTTATCACTCAATGATCAGTTTAGTATGCTCATGTTGGGGAGATCCATAAAACTCATCGAGAAAAGCCAAAAAGGCTTTGAAAAGGCTGAGAAACATCTTATCCAATCAGCATTCAATAGGAGTTTGCCAGAAACACCTAGAAAGTTTAAATTCATATGTAGCGTTTCTGATTGGATGATTGCTATACTGCTTCTATGTTTAGTAGCGTTCCAGAATTTCCCGGAAACCCAAGGCCATCTAAAATACTATACATATCCTAGGTTTTCTGTATGTAAACAAACTTTGAAGTAAGGCGTTTCTTCCATATTTCACGCCTTTTCTCTCGTGTTCAAGTCGCTGCGTAGATTTAGCCTGGGGGTTACTAGAAGAACATAGGAACCGAATCTAGGGTTCAATTAGAAGACTTATCAGTTCAAATATAATTTCTTACTTGGAATTATTTACAAACTGATTATTTCTTAGCTCATCTTGATCATTCTCCAAACTATAAATAGTCCCTTCCTCATTGGATTCACTTGATTCAGCATTACCATTCAATGATTTAGCACGTATACGATGCATATTACATGAAATTTTGCAGTCATTCAGTAGAATTTTAGTTGAATTTGTTGTTGTTGTTGTTACGTCACAACCCAATCGATATGAACTGGAACAGGAAATATCTTTTGAATCAAAGTATTTCATTGTTTGCTCTATAGTTTGATATAGGTCTGGGTCAGATGTAATGATTAAATCCATTTGGTCATTTGAAGCCATTGATTTACTATATAATATATAATAATTATTAAAGAGAAGAAATAAGGAAAACATTTTAGTTTTTAAATACTGACTAGAAATTGATTATCAGGCTTTATAATTATAAGTTCAGAGTTATTGTATTTCAGTGTCGAAAATATGGTCTACTTCTTTCTTAAATGACCATTCTAATTTGAAAAAACCACACAATTTCGACATATTCAGGCTGTGACCGAAGCAAAGTTCACTAATTCAACATATAACACTATCTTATTGATCTGCTTATGTATACCTTCTCTTGGTCATTATTATACAACAATGATAAGCTTATAACTATAGAGTACGATGATAGATTGATAGCAAAACTTTTATCTATTTTAATATCCTTTGTCTTTAAATATTCTATGAGGATTTTCAAATTATAATAATTGATTAATAAACATAGAAAATTAAAGATTATTTATAGTCAACTAACTCACTGTTTATCACAAGAAGTAGAAATAATCACTGGAGTTGTCTGACGTTGAATTGATTCCGATTTCGGTTCGTTTTTTATGCTCAATTCTGAAATCCAAAATGGGATGAAAAATGTGACATGAAATGATGATAACAAACTTTGATCACTCTAAGTATGGGAGTTTTGGAGAGTGTAGAATTTTTTTACTGAGATTATGAACTGATTCGAGTAACACAACCATTGAAAATGTGGAAGAACTGGACGTCTGTTTTGGTCTAGTATGGGACCCCTCAGTAATGCATATCAGTAGCTAAGGCTCGAACCTAGGACATTCTGTGTTAAGAATGAACACTTAAGAACATTAAGATTGTGGATAATAATGGAATTCTAGAGACGTGTTTTGCTCTTTTTGGACCTCATCAGCTCGATTTATCTGAATCACAGTGTTGATGTCCACATCGGGTACTCGAACCTAATATCTTTCACTTTAAACCCCAAGACATCATTCACTTGGCTACTGAGTCCGTGAAAACATTAATTTATTAAATAGGTATGATGCATTGAACATTGTTCTTCAGTCCTGAGTATCAACAACGACTTAATTTACCCCCCCCCATACTTAAAATGGTGCAAAAACTAATCGGTTTTCGTAATGTCATACAAATGAAATAATCACTTTACTTTGAGGGAATAAATATATAGGCCGGATAACTGTGAGAATAAAATTTATTGGAAGTTATTATCAGCTGAATGTTGTCGTCAAAAAATCAGATGTTTCTAATACACTGCTTGATTAACTTCGGAAAGTTTTATTCATCACACATCCAGATTTTTTTAGTAAAAGTAAACCAGTGACAAATGAGTCTGGCTAATTAACATCAAGTAATTGTTGACCTTCGGTGGTTTTCAGCCGAATTCATCCTGAGACGTAATATATCTTATGGTGCAGTTGCTACATATTCAAGTCTATAATTAAGAAATGTGTGGATGGAGTTATTTCGTTCATTTAGCATAACACTTGTATTTAGGTGATGCAAACTACCTGGTTTGAGTTCACGTAATAACCATGAACAGTGGTCGTACTTAGCTTCCAGTCAGTCACAACGTAAAACTTCATACGTACGTACACAAGTTCGACTTGTTATACCACATTAGTACAGAGATGCAGCTGTCGATTCAAATCCCGTAGTGGTAGAAGTAGTAAGAATATAAGCATTATGTGAAAGATTAGGGTTTGAAGATGTTATTGAAGGAGCATAATACGGTGAAATAAATTTGGAAAGAGAAAAAAGACAGAGACATGAAGAATTCAGAAGATTAGAATTCGGAAGAACACAAAAAGTGGATGCACCTGAGCCATTGCAGACGATTTTGAGCCATGTCATTCTAGGTCTCTAACCATCGGTTGCTATCATCTCGCGGATCCCAACCAGGTAGTCTACACCTACCAACATGGCTCAGTCCACTTGTCAGCGACTTCATGGATTTGTGCCACGTTTTGGTCTGACCGCCCCTAGCTTTCTTCCAACCTACCCCTACACCATAAAACATCGCACGTCATGGCAGTCGGTGGTTGGGCATACGTAACACATGTCCCAGCCATCTCAACTGATGAAGTTTCACTACTTCATCAATCGATTTGCCATCCTTACCTAGTACCCATTTCCTAACAACTGCATTACTTGCTCGGTGGTCCCAGGATACACAAGCAATGTTTCAAAGACACCTGTGATCGAATAATATTGTTTTACGAATATCCTCTACTCTTACCGGCCATGTTTTGCTGCCATAAAGTAGGACGGAACGAACTTCTGCACAGTAAACCCGTCCTTCGGTTGCTAGACGGATATCTCGCCTACTCCATAAATGACGTGAGTTGGCAAAATCTAGCCGAACCTATTGTATCCGTGCTGAGGTTTCGTCACACATCACATCACGAGGGCTGATGAGACTCACAAGATATGTGAAGCGGTCAACTTGCTCAACTACTTCGCTCCCTATCATTAGTTCGGGTGTCGCTGCAACCCAATTCTGAAGTAACATTTTGCACTTCGAAGGGAAGAATCGCATCCCGAACATGCCTGCATTGTTGCTTATAGTGGTCAGAAGACTCTGCATTTTGTCAGCGTCTTCACCGAACAAAACGATGTCGTCGGCGTATTCTAAGTCAACAAGCGAGTCTCCCGGTAAAAGTTCAAGCATCAGGGCTTCCAAGTACACGAAGTGTGGATGAAGTTGGTTCTTTATTTTGATATACTTACTTACTTACTTACTTTTGCCTGTTACTCCCAATGGAGCATAGGCCGCCGACCAGTATTCTCCAACCCGCTCTGTCCTCCGCCTTCTTTTCTAGTTCTATCCAGTTCTTGTTCATTCTTCTCATGTCTGTCTCTATTTCTCGGCGTAATGTGTTCTTTGGTCTTCCTCTTCTCCTTTGACCTTCAGTATTCCATGTGAGGGCTTGTCTTGTGACACAATTGGGTGATTTTCTCAAAGTGTGCCCAATCCACTTCCAGCGCTTCTTCCTGATTTCTTCCTCTGCTGGAATCTGGTTTGTTGTCTTCCACAGTAGGTTGTTGCTGATAGTGTCTGGCCATCGGATCCGAAGTATTTTGCGTAGACAGCTGTTGATGAACACTTGTATCTTCTGGATAATGGCTTTCGTAGTTCTCCACGTCTCCGCCCCATACAGTAGAACTGTCTTCACATTTGTATTGAAAATTCTAACCTTGGTGTTGGTTGACAATTGTTTTGAGCTCCAGATGTTTTTCAGTTGTAAATATGCTGCTCTTGCTTTGCCGATCCGCGCCCTCACATCTGCATCTGATCCACCGTGTTCATCAATGATGCTGCCCAGATATGTAAAGGTTTCCACATCCTCCAAAGCTTCTCCGTCAAGTGTAATTTGATTGGTGCATATTGTATTGTATCGGAGAGTCTTGCTTTTCTCTTTGTTTATATTGAGACCTATTGCTGCTGAGGCTGCTGCTACACTGGTCGTTTTCTCCTACATTTGTTGTTGCGTTTGTGATAGAAGAGCCAGATCATCCGCGAAGTCTAAATCATCAAGCTGCATCCTGCCTGTCCACTGTATCCCGTGCTTTCCTCCAGTCGTTGACGTCTTCATGATCCAGTCGATGACCAGGAGAAAGAGAAAGGGTGAGAGTAAGCAACCTTGCCTTACAGCAGTCTTTACTTTAAACGAGTCGGTGAGTTGTCCTCCGTGGACGATTTGGCAGTTTAGTCCATCATAGGAGTTCCGTATGATATTGACTATCTTCTCAGGCACGCCGTAGTGTCGAGGAAGCTTCCATAGTGTCGTCCTGTCCACGCTATCAAATGCCTTCTCGTAGTCGATGAATTTGATGTACAGTGATGAATTCCATTCGATTGATTGTTCCACAATGATCCGCAGAGTTGCGATTTGATCTGTGCACGACCTATCCTTACGAAATCCAGCTTGTTGATCTCGAAGTTGGGCGTCCACGGAATCCTTCATCCTGTTTAACAATACTCGGTTGAAGACTTTTCCTGGTATTGAGAGAAGAGTGATGCACTTGCTAAGATCACCTTTCTTTGGTATTTTGATCAGAAGTCCTTTTTTCCAGTCTGTTGGTACTTGTTCTTCGTCCCAAATCTTACTGAAGAGGATGTGGAGTATCTTGGCAGTTGCTGCTACATTTGCTTTCAGCGCCTCTGCCGGGATGTTGTCTGGTCCCGCTGGTTTGCCGCTCTTGATTTGTCTAATGGCCATGCTGATCTCTTCAATTGTTGGTGGGCCGACATCGATTGGGAGATCCATGGGTGCTGCTTCGATGTTGGGTGGGTTCAGTGGAGCTGGTCGATTCAAGAGTTCCTTGAAGTGTTCTACCCACCTGTTTCGTTGTTCTTCAATGTCGGTGATTACTTTGCCTTCCTTGTTTTTCACTGGTCTTTCTGGTTGACGGTAATTTCCAGCAAGTTTCTTTGTTGTATCATACAGTTGTCTCATGTTTCCCTCTCGTGCAGCCTTTTCCGCTGTCATCGCTAAATCTTCCACATATTTACGTTTGTCGGTTCTGATGCTCCTCTTCACTTGCTTGTTTGCCTTTGTGTATTCGGCTTGTGCCTTGGCTTTTTACGCTCTTGTTCGGCTGATATTGATTGCTGCATTCTTGTTCCTCCTTTCTTCAATTTTATCCAGTGTACCAACGGTGATCCAATCCTTGTGATGGTGCTTCTTTTGGCCCAGAACCTCCTGACACGTTGAAACGATTGCCTCCTTGATACCTTTCCAGTTGCTCTCCATGGTAGTTCCCTCTCCATTGAGTAGATCATAAAAGGCCTGGAACCTGTTGCTGAGGGCTATGTTGAATTTGTTGAGTTTGTCAGCATCTCGAAGAAAGTCCGTATTAAACTTTTGTGATGTTGTCCGAGCCGTTGTCCACTGCTTCTTGAGTTTTAGTTTCATCTTGGCGACCAGCGAATGATGATCGGATGCTATATCAGCTCCTCTTCTGGTTCTCACATCCTCCATCGTCCTCCTGAACTTTTTGTTGATGCAGATATGGTCGATTTTATTCTGTGTAGTGTGATCCAGTGAAATCCAAGTGGCTTTGTGTATGTTTTTGTGTGGGAATATGGTGCCACCTATGACCAGTTTATTGAAGGCACATAGGTTTGCAAATCTCTCACCATTTTCGTTCCTTTCTCCCAGTCCATGTTGTCCCATGACGTCTTCGTATCCAGTGTTGTCCTTTTCAACCTTGGCATTGAGATCTCCCATCAGAATGGTCAGGTCCTTGGTTGGGCACTTCTCGAAGATCGACTGCAGCCTATCGTAGAATTGGTCTTTAGCGTCTTCGTCGTAGTCGTTGGTTGGCGCATAGCATTGGATGACGTTCATTGTAATGCCCTCTCTCTTTGTTTTGAAGGAGGCTTTGATGATCCTTGGTTCATGAGATTCCCATCCTATAAGTGCATTTTGTGCTTTTCTGGACAGCATCAATGCATCTCCTTGAGTATGTGGGGCATTTTCTTCTTCATGACCGGAGTATAACAGAAGTTCTCCTGAAGACAGTCGTTGTTGTCCAACCTGCGTCCAATGCGTTTCACTGATTCCAAGCACCTCCAGGTTGTATTTTCTCATTTCTGCAGCAATTTGGAAGACTCTTCCGGTCTCCCACATTGTCCGGACATTCCATGTACCTATAAAAATTGTCGCTCTGGTTGTAAGAAGGTGCATCGGCCTCATGACTCCCGAAAGGAACTCGGCTTTCATCATGAGACGTCATAAGTATTCCTTCTACTCCCAGGGCAGAGTTTAAATGGTTTGAATGATCTTTTCTGGTTAGCGTTTTTTTAGCGAGTTGATTTTCTACGGGATGGGGTCGCTAACCCCATGCCCAACCCTCCTCCTTTACCCGAGCTTGGGACCGGTGAGGTTAAATGAATGACGCTACTCGGATCTTGTATGCGCATTTTGGAGACGCAGCATACCTCGACGGTACGAGATTCTTAAGTCCTGGCTAAGGAAGCCTGTTGCAGTCATTCACAGTGGCCCAAATCCATTCACTATTTGTTTGAAAAAGTTTAGTTCCAGAATTTCTTCGTAGATACCTTTTTATTCTGTATTTCCTCACTATACCCTGGATGTTCAATATTTTTGATAATCTTTCCATGTACACCATTTCAATTCATTTGATATGTAATTTGTTAATTGCACATCATAAGGGTAATGGGATATATCGACTTGAACTAACTCTCATTAACGATATGCTCTACGTTGAGCATTCGTGTTACTTGTTCAAGATTTTTCATCATTGTGTACACATAGTTCTCAATCAGAGTCAAACCTAAGTCTAGCAGAAATAAAAAAAAACTATGATATTTTTGAACTGCTTGTGACAATTCAAATATAATAAGAACTTGTAACTAAAAGCCAATATTAAGATAATTTGTTCTAGGGTACTTTCACACTAGTTGATAAATTGCTGTATACAGCTAAAGGTTTTATTAATTAGTGATTATTTTAAGTATATAGACTGGAAGAGTTGACTAATTAGTGATGCGTAAATCTCCTACCAACTGTTTAATTAATAGAGTTTGTCGCTCATCTAGAAATGTTTTTAATCAGAAAAAAGACAGTAAAACTATATAATAGCTGTACTTGGAAGTAAAACATAGTTCTGAGAAAACTGATGGTTGAGATACTTACAGTTAATATATGCGTTACCGAATATCAGTGGGCGAAAAAACCTCGAAAATAAATTATAAACCCTTAAATATTGGTATTTACTCACTCCTTCCAACTGATTTATGACTGCTTTTCCCCTCAATATCTGGATTTACATTACTACTGGATAACATATACCCAATGGATATCAGATGCTTTCCGATTTTCTGCTGTGTTTCAGTATCAGCCAGCAAGAGATATGTTGCTCTAATATTATTAAATAAACGTTTATCAAACGTTACACGTAGTTCTTCATTACTAAATCCAAGTTTATTCATAAGGGCTAAAAATGAAATGCAATTAGATTCGTATAAAGGTTATGGCTAGGCAACATAAAATAAAATGCAATTGTTGAAACTTTCACATTTTGTTAAAAGATGGATATGTACATAAAAAATATTCTTCTCAACAAGAAGTCATCACATTTTTAAGCTTTAAGTTCAAATCAGTGATCTAAATGAACAGCAAATTTAAGAAGATTACATTTTTTAAAATTAAAATTCATGAATTTAAGATTTTTAGTGATATAAAATTGGTAACTTTAATAGTTGGATTCATGAGTCACTATAAGCTACACCACAATTGAAAACTTGGTAGCATTGGACGGTCATTTCATCCTAGTTTGGGACTTTACAGTAGTGCACATCCACGATTCCGCACGTGGGACTCGAACGCAAGACCTTCAGTCTCACACGCGAACACATAACCTCGAGACCACTGAGCCGGCAATCAACGGTGTTAATGTCTAACTTTAATCAATCCACGAATGGTTGCGTCGTCTGAGTTAGATACCTGTCTTTACTTGACATGGTTTGGACTCCACTGGTCACGGCTTCTCACTAGAACTCAAGGAAATCATCTTGAAGCCAGATCAGTGGTCTGGAAGTAAATTGTTGGCGTGTGAGACCGAAGGCCCTGAGTTCGAGTCCCACATGCGGAATTGTGAATGTGCACTACTGTAAAGTCCCATACTAAGATAAAATGACCGTTCAATGCTTCTGGGTTTTCAACAGTGGTATAGCTTACAGTGACTCATGAATTCATCTATTAAAAATTACTACAACCCCATTATAATAATAAAATTGTTAATGTCAAAATGAATATTATGTAATTTTAACTCGAATAAGCTTATGCATCAACTAAGGTTGTGAGATTAGTAATTTGAATGAATTCAGTTGAGAAACTATACAAAAGTCAGGTCTAAAGAGACTATCATTTGGTTATATTATTGAATTATCGGACAGGCTAAATATAATTTTCCGCAATGAGATGTAAAGGTAATATTAAAAAATTTTCAAAAGAATCCTCATTTTAATTTGAAGTCTTTTCAGATGGTAGAAAAAACAAATCTGAAATATTTTGTGCAAATTAAGTAATAAGAGATTGATCAATCGCAGCTCTAAACATCAATGGAAAGGTTCAAACAACCAATACAAGATGAATTTTGTGTAAGTTATTATACTACTCAATGAGTCACATCGATAGGCAAAATGAAAATTCAAAAGAATTACGCAGTATTAAAGGGTTGAATATACTCGTAAACTATGTTCCTTGAAAATTTAGAAACTAAATATATTCGAACCTGATAATTAAGACTTTCAATAAGTCTCTAACATACTACCGAATATTAAACTAGGGTTTAGATGATATTTCCTGACTTCAGTAATAAAAATCTACAAGTTGTGAAGAAAATGATCTTTTATTTTGAGAAACACTTACTGAGTTGTTATTTTGTTTGAAGGTTTCTTTCATGTGTAAAATATTAGGCTAGTAAGTCAACGTATTCGATTACCATTTTCTAATGTATATTTTGTTTCAATTGAAGACATTTCAATTCACTAATATGTGAAACCCATAGTTATAAAATCATTTAGAAAATAATTTGATTATGAGCAAAGATGGATAGTGGCTAGCAGTGGGTCCAGGACGCGCGTTTCGTCCTATTTAGGACTCGTCAGCTGGATGTACCTGCATCTCACAGTTGATGTTCACTCTGGGACTCGAACCCAGTACCTTTCGCTTCAAATAGGACGAAACGCGCGTTCTAAATTCTACTGCTAACCACTATCCATCTTTGGTTCTAATGTTTGTGAATTAAGGCAATATCGAGGCAATACCCACAGTATGCACATATGCCAATAAGAGACTGACCAGTTTCAGTCCTAAACATCAATGGGAAAATTCAAACAAACAATACTAAGTGAATTGTTTTGTAAAGTTTTATATTTCTAATCAAATTGAATAGTTTATTTCCATCTATCTTTACACACAAATTACTTTATTAGATGAAGATACTACTAATATACACTTGAAGATTATTTGAAAATCATGTACTAGTTTCTATATACATGAAATATTCTTCTATTTTACTATGTGCAAATACTGGTACTATATCAAACACTTGAATTGTATTAATCTTAAAGTCATGAAATATTTCAATTCTTTGACATCCATAAGTACCTGAATTTTATATTTTGTTGCATTAAGAAGCCCATATTTATTTATATGGAAAGAAAAGGTATTGCATTTAAGTGTATGGAAAAAAGCTTATTCTTTGAATAAGACGTACTTATATTATAATTTAAGAATCTTAGATAAAAGTTAAATGATAAATGCATAATCTATGTAATTGTTACTAATTGAATGTAGATTAAAGATTAGAAGAGCTTTCGTTTGTATACTATGAAGTTGTTCATTTTAAACTTTGTATAATTAAAAAATTCTACATGTGTGGTATGTAGTTCAAAGTGTTGTTGTTTATTGAAAACTTTTTAAGTTGTAGATACCATGAAGTTATTATATATGTGATGTATTGATAAGGTTTAATCATTCAATATTACACATTACAAGAAATCTACTTTCGGAAACTAGATTGAAGCTTAAAAAAAAATCAAATTTTTCACAAAAGTCTAGATTGTATTAAAGTTGCTATAAGTATTCGGAGTTTGGCAAAACCTCAACCAGTAACACTTTTTATAATTGAAATGTGCCAACACAGTCAAATTAGAAGTCAGAAGCGAAGAGGTTCGAAGATATACTGGTTAAAATAACGATATATCGAGAAGTGACTAATCTAAGCTGGTTAGTGGTTGTAGGAGATGTGTAGCATAGCGTACACACTCGTGAACTAGTACAGATGCATGACCAAGCACCTTCAGTTAAGTGAGTCCATTAAAACTATTGTGCTCAGCATCAAATGTCGAAGACTTACAGAGCTACTAATTTTGGGGATTTATTTACCATTACAGTACCATCTCCTCTACAATACATAAACTCTGGCTTCAGATTGTTGATGTACAGTGATGACAATTTATAACCAGGATAATATAGCAGCTATTCAGCATTCCTTAAGTTTTCAATAATTTTGTAAATGATATCAGCTTTTACTAAAATTTAAGCTGTAGTAATCAACATAATAAGTCAGTTTTCAAATTGCCAAAGAAATAAAGCATAACTATTAATCATATAATAATATCATTTTATATTACCCGACATAATATTGGATCAAAAAATCAAAAAGAAACATTCACATTACTCAGTAATGTGGTACTTCTGTCATGTATCATTTAAAAAAAAATTTATTTTCAGACTTAATAAATCATAGATATTATAAATCATGTTTGGTGGGTTATGGAGATTGTTGAATGTCATTAATATCATGAACCAACTATAAGTTAGATAAATAATGAAAATTAAGAAGCATTGATTAGTTATTGTAACTAAGTATGGGACATCCAAGCAGTGAGCATCTACAATTCCATCACGGATCGGATCCAGGCCCTTTAAGTCCCTCGACAAATTCTACCTTCTCCAAACGTGATACGGTTGAACTTCTTAATAAAACTTGAGAAATTTCCTCTCGACGTTAGTCACTAGTAAACACATGATAATTATCAGTCTACAATCCTAAACTTAATTAACCTTTGTATTGAATATTTTAAGCTGTTCATTGAGGAATTCTTAAAATTTGGATAAGAAATAGATAAAGTTCAGTAAAATATGTATCAGTATATAAATTCACTTAGTCAATTTACTTTAAGTAACTAACATTATTTACTGGTTAATATTATACTTACCAATACGTATTGGATCGTTAAAATTTTCTCTAGGTTCAATATACGGTCTTAATGGATCGTGTTCATATCCGATATTAATCCATGGATCTTCCATTAATTCCTTTATTTTAGAAAATATAATAAAAAAGCACTTTTATTGTTGTTGCCGAAAGTTAAAGAAAGGTATTATCTTGTTACGGTTTCAGTAAAGATGGGTTGTACCTAGCAAAGGAACTTAAGACACATTTTCAATCCTGTTTAAGACATGTTATCTGGATGTATCTACACCCCAGTATTGATGCTTGCGCTATAATATGAACACGGTTCTTAAGGCTTTAAACACTATGGCGTCATGTGCTAAGCTTTTAAGTCCAAATCAACGTTAACTACTAATAAAATAGTGGGTTATATGCAAAAAATGGATAGTCAAATAGCTTGATTTTATGTCCCTAAAAAATTCTTCAAACCGAATAACACGCTAATTTTGTGAAATAAAGAATAAAATGTACATCCATTATTATATTTATTATTTATTTCAACAAACATTGGTACGAGAAGGCACCAAATACATATGTGCCACACAAATGATTAGATATGCGTGAGGGCTGGAATACTGAGCGGGCGCCTAAACCGGAACAGGTGGTTTTCTTAGGGGGGCACTCCATGAGCCTTTGATATAGAGGTCTAATCCACAAGACAGTAAAGCAACGTTAGGAGGCACATTCCCATGGTAGTTGTGAACAACAACAGGTTCATATGCTATCTATTACCTCGAAACCCTGGAGTCCATGTGAACCATCGGTTTGGAACCAGGGTTTTCCAACTCCTCTAGGTGGACTCTCCGTGTCCACCAACCAGATTAAAGCGCCGGATATTCACTTTTCATCATTAAATTTCGTAGACCACAATAATGTCACGATAATGTAGTGAGTAGGACTTCCCTGACAGTGGCTGTATATGCGTGGTTAATTGAGAGCGTACCAGGGCATTCGGGTATCATCCATCCTCGGATAGTTGAAATGTTAAAAGCGTTTGCAAAATAATATTTCCCTGAGATTTTATTTGATAAAATGATTACCATTGGCTGGAATATATGATATTACATTTGGTCAGCTGTTTGTCATCTAAATGACATTGTGTATTTGATTGGATGAATATGTATATGAAATATAAAACGTAACTATCTCATGGTAACTATCTCATGGTTTGTACTAAATAAGTAATTCCCACTGGTTTACTCAATATTTGATCTGACAAGTGTAAATAATGATCACACAATTACATCGATGTTTTAACAAATGCATAAAGGTTAGATGAAGTCTTTGCTTTCATCAATATTGTTTCCATAAAACACACAGGAAATACATCGTGTTAAGTGACTGCAAAACATTGTAATCTCTGTTGGCTAATCGACTTATGTCTCCTCAGGATCTATTTATAGCATATATTTATAGTTATATATAATTTTAAGAAAGTCCGATTGATAGAGAAGATAAAACAAAACTACCGATTTAACTTTATTATCTTAATTAGACAGATATACATTTTGGAACACAGCCAAAATTAAATATCCTTCATAATTTGCAAAAAAAATCAAACATAATTATTCTCTGTCAATAATCAATCATCTTTTCATTCATCTATTCATTTTTTCAAATGCAGATTTAACAAATATTTTTCATAAACAAATTAAGGTAATTCATCCGTTTGATAAATTTGGATAGTGTAATAAGAAGAGGGAACTCCGGCTGTAGCTCTTCTAGAGTTACTACTGATCTAAAGGAGGAGGGTTGGGCATGGGGTTAGCGAAGAGGTGGATTATCAGAATTATGTCATATATATTAGTGTAATATGTTACGAATAATCTAATCACACATAATATACTTGTTATATCTAAAAATAAAAGGTCAACTAGACGACAAATGGAAGATAAAAACAATAGATAAAATAATGTGAAACCATTTCAACAATTTAAATGTATATGTTGTCTAGTTGACATTTTATTTCTATATATAAAATATTCTTAGGAAGCAAAGATGGAAAGTGTCTAGCAGTGGAATCCAGGACGCGCATTTCGTCCTAGTTGAGACTCGTCAGCTGGATGTAACTGCATCTTAAAGTTGATGTTCACTCTGCGACTCGAACCCAGTACCGTTCGCTTCAAACGCCATCGCGTTATCCACTCAGTTACCGAGTCCTGATAGTCACTTGCTTGTGTAATGGAGTGAAGTCAACTCTGAGATGCAGGTACATCCACCTGACGAGCCCCAACTAGGACGAAACGCGCGTCCTGGATTCCATTGCTAGACACTATCTATCTTTGCTTACAATGCTTGTGAATTAAGGCAATAACGGGGCAATATGCACATATATCCATAAGAGGCTGACCAGTTGCAGTCCTAAACATCAATGTGAAGATTCAAACAAGTAATACTAAGTGAATTCTTAAGAAATATATTATATGTGACCAGATTGTTCGAAATATATTACTCTAATATATATAAATTTCATAGTTCTGATAATCTTCGTCAACTTATTACACAATCCAAAAATAAATTAATTATTAAACAGATCATTCTGTTATGTAACATTAGAATGATCTTTTAATTGTCTAGGACCGGTATAAGAAGAAAAAGAAGAAAATAAAACTTACTACATTACCTCTAAACAACTTCGTTTGATAGGATCAATTTCTAGCATACGTTTTATAATTAATTCACATTTAGTAGACATAAAATATGGAATACGATAATCACATTGGGTAATACGTCTGTGTAATTCCTGAGAAGAAATAAAATAATTTATGGTATTCAAATGACGGAATAGAAACCATGTTTATAAAGAAGGAAAATCGTTTGCGAATGTACCATACACATTGTGTTTTTATGCCTATTGATAAATACCGATTTGAAAGCAAACTATATGTTAGTAACAAACTAATCAATATCTAAACACCTAATAACACCTGAATTAAACTTTATGATGGACTAAGTAAAATATACCCATATTTAGTTCTTATAAAGCTTAAAGTTGATAAATTTTCTGTTATGCAATCGTACAGTGAATTTAATAAAAGTTAAGTTACAAGAAGCATATGCTCTCAAAGCAGACTGTATCTGAAACAGTATCTAAATATTAAGCGTACTTTATATGACTGAAAGCATGGTCATAGGTGTTTGAAGGGTCTCTTAATGACTTTTGTACATAAGGATGTGACCTATATAATAAATTAAATTTAATTTTCTAAAATTTCTTTTCATTTTCTGTAATTGGATTCTGATTTTGTCATAACTGGATATAATTTTGCAAAGTATGTCACGTAAAATTGGGGTCTTCACTGAAGTATAGTTGCCAGGAAAGGATTAATGAGCAAGAAAACATTTCAGTAACATTTCAAAACTACATTCATCATAGCATTTCAAAAGCCGTAAATTACTCTTGAACTATTTTTTTGAAAAACAATAAGTTAATGAAGTTTAACACGAATAACAAGTTGTTTACTATAAGGTAGTTGTGATTAACCGTTGAGATATTACATTATTTTATCTATCATTCAAATATTTGTTTTACTTACGCCTGTTACTCCATGTGTAGGAGCATAGGCCGCCCACTAGCATTCTATATCCAACGCTGTTCTGGGCAATACTTCTCAGTCTTTTCCAATTGCTATTCATCCTTTTCATATCTGCATCCAATTCTTGGTGCAGTGTGTTCTTTGACCTTCCTGTTTTCCGTTTGCATTCAAGATTCCAAGTTAGAGATCGCTTCATGATGCAGTTCGATTTTTTTTCGTAGTATATGTTCTATCCACTCCCAATGTCATTCCCTAACTTACTCCTCACCTGGAACCTGATTTGTCCTCTCCCACTGTAGACTGCTACTGATGGTATCCGGCAAACGGACATTTAGTATTTTGCTTAGACAACTGTTTATAATTACTTGTACTATTTTGATTATGGTTGTAGTAGTTCTCCAAGTTTCAGCTCAATACAGTAGGACTGATTCGACGTTCGTATTGAAGATTCTCACGATGCACGACCTCGCACTGTAGTCCGTCGTATGGATTCCGAATGACGTTGATGATCTTCACAGGTACTCCATAGTGTTGAAGAAGTTTCCATAATGTTCTCCTATCCATACTGTCAAATGCTTTCTCATGATCAAGGGAGTTGATATATAGTGACGAGTTCGATTCGATTGATTGCACAACGATGATAAATATTTGTTAGACACATATTAAAAGAATTATTTGAAAATGGCTAGTTGTGGAACCTTTAACGTCAACCAATGGTTTTTATCAGTAAGTTGTTTCATTCACTCGCATATCGAAAATTCCCTTTATGTATATTAGAACAACGTTTATAAACGAAAAGTATATTGTTTTCAATTAGGTCTTCATTAATGTTTATTTTAAGTTTACGCGTATTCTAATGTACTTCCTGTTCCCATACAGCATTAATCTTAGCTGTTCTGTTGGATAGTGGCCAGTGTGAAAACATAGAAACATATCTATTTTATGCTCACAGAGAAAATAACAAAAAATAACAAACAAAATTCTTACTTTTAAAGTCGATGCTTCAAATGGTAATGTACCACTTATAAATAAATATAATAAAACACCTAATGCCCATACATCAACTTCTGGACCCATATACTTTTCACCATTTAATAATTCTGGTGCAGCATACGGTGGACTTCCACAAAATGTATCCAATAATGATGCTGCATTAAAATGATTGGCAAAACCAAAATCTGCTAATTTAATATTATTCTGATAATCGAGTAAAAGATTTTCTGCCTAAATTGAATCGACAAATTCAAATGAAGAGAAATATTGATATAATACTATAAAATGGTTAGTTAAGATATTGATATAATGGGAAGATTGATCTACTAGAGTTTTAAATCAGCAGAGGGGTGACATATAGTGAATTTATCATATAATTATGATGATCTAGAAACTTGATTGATAAAACTACATTGTACTAGCGATCTTCAGAGAATTTTGTGAGATTTAAAATGGTGTACACCAGATTTGTTTTGTGAAATTCAAAACATAGTGGATGATAGCATCTTTCTTAATGAAAAATTGTGTAAAATTTGACTATAATAAGTACTTAAAAAGCTTAAAATTGTTGAAAATATCTTATGTGTGAACATACAGGAAATGAAACATGGTATATAAACCAAATTCTTGGAAATACCTGTTTCCGATCCAGATTTTCTTTAGGCAAACATGGTGAACTTCTAAACAAATGGTATCAATGTTGATGGTTGTTAATTGATCAATCTAGTTTTATATACACCTACAGTATCTCTCTTTATCAACTTTTAATATAGTGTTCTTTTGTTAATCTCTTGGATTGTACTTCAAGCAGGAATTCATAATATTTGAGCTATGGAGTTTTACATGTCAGTTTTCTTATAAATATAGAAACATTAGTTAAGGCTTACGAGTAATAAACCTAAAAACTTTTTAATCTGAAAAATTCTTGTTTTTGAGAATATTCATTATATTGTTAGGTAGTAACTTTATTTCTATCTTTCAGATATATAAACATTTCACCAAGACAGTTACATAACAGTAATCAGCAAATATTTTCAACACTTAAGAACCTTTTGTGTACCATGTACTAGATTAATAATGTATATATTTTTTGTTATATCACAATGAGTAGAAAAATTGTATTTCTAACGTTTCGTAATTTAATGTAAGCCATCTCTTCAGAGTAACCCAATGACCGAAATAAACTAAGCTAAGATTAAATAGTACAAAAAAAGCGATGCAGAATATTTTTAGTACAATTAAAATCATAACTCATTGGGATATAACAAAAAATTGATTCATTATTAACTTTCTACCCAATGCTCATTTTATTTGAAACTATCAAGTTCAACTTTGACATTGATACCTCCATACTTCGTTATTTTTTATTTAACTAAACAGTATAACTACTTAAACATACTTTTAAATCTCGATGGACAATATTTTTTCGATGGCAGTATTGTACAGCAGAAAGTATTTGACGAAATTTTCTTCGTGCATCAGATTCACTCATTCTATTATGCTTCAAAAGATATTCAAACATTTCACCTTAAACATAAAAAAGTTACCAAAAATTATATATTTATATAATATGAATTAGCTTCATGAAAGTATGTAATCATATTGTATGTGTTTAAAAGAATTGATGAAACGTTTTGATTGGTACTATTTATTGAAACCCAAATATAGTCGCCTGAGTTTTTATAGAATAAACGGTATGTGGTCAGCGGTGGAATTTAGGACCAGTGTTTAGTCCTATTTCAAACTCGTCATATGGATATAGCTGAATCTCAACATTGATGTTCACACTAAAGATCAAACCCAGTACCTTCCACCTCAAACGCACAATGTACCGCTCACTTTACTACTCAATTCAGATAGCCGCTGGCTTGTCCTATGGGTATGAATTTTAACTCAATTTGAAAAAGTTTGCGTTACTTTAGTGTTAATAATCCAAACTGAATTCTGATTAGTCTAAGTTGGCATAATTGCATCGTGTTTGCATTGCCTCAATATAAACATTATGACCCAAGTTTTTATAGTAAAGATAAAATGTCACGAGCAGTTGAGTCCTGTTATAAACATAAACTCAGGGATCCAGGTATATTCAGCTGACGAGTACTTAAAGAACGAAATGATATATTATGTATGAATTCATATTATTCCGCACCAATCTTCGTTCTTGCTCTCTTTAACATAATAAGGAGAAATATGTGTATTGGATTTCTCAAAATGGGTCTCCCTGTACGGTCATTCAAGTCACTAAATCGCCAGGTGACAATACGCTGCAGAATATCGAGAGAAATGACTCAACTTAAGTTTCTAGATGAATGCCTCAAGTCATGCCGTTTCGCACGTCAATTCTTAAAATCTTTGCACTCATGTTAACTTCCTCATTCTTTTTAAAAAATCTTCGACGCATAACAAAATATCACATAGAACCAACAAAGTTACTGGTTGAACGCTTGAGGACAGAAACGAACGCCTTTGATGGATTAGTCGACGATCTAAGTATCGTATGTCGCATAAAATTTATCAAGGTCTGCAAAAAGATAAATATGCAAGAATTTTTACGTAACTTTGTCAAAGAAACACTTATGCTGTGATTTTCCGGAAAACCCAGAAAAAATTCTTTATAATCTATCAATGAATGTAAATGAGATAGAAACAGAAGCTTAGTTGCTTGGATTTAAAATTCATATCCCCAAATACATGCCGACAGAATCGATGCACAAACTGAATTCGAGAATTTATTTGATCAAATTAAAGAGTTCCACCCAGTTAGTGAGGAGAAGTAAGGCTCGTTTAAATACAAACTAGTTGATATCGAAAACCAATATCTCGTTTCACCCATACCACAGTCTAAACTTCTATCTAAAGACCACCTAAGACCATAACGAAATATTAAGAGAATTGATGATACAATGATATTACGGTCAGATAAAGGTTCGAGTGTTATTTTAATGAACACAACAGATTATGGTTCTAAGATGAAGCCCATTTTAAGTAACCACACAAGAGTTAAGTTAGCTGAAAGTAACAAGGACTTAACTGATTTGATGGAGTAGAGAATCACGAAAGTACTCAGGGATCTCCTGAAGAAGATGATGATCGATAATTCCACTTACAATAACCTACGACCTCGTGAGTCTCGTTTGCCCCACATGTATGGTTTACCAAATATGCATAAACAAGGTATTCCTCTTAGACCTATTCTGTCAGTGGTTAACTCACCCTACCACAAAGTTGCACGATGGTTAGCTGATAAGTTAGAACCAATTCTTCAACGATTATCCACATATATATTAAAGGATTCATTTGGATTTGCTGACAGCATGAACCACATAAATATTGATGGTAAGTTTATGGTTTCCTTTGATGTGAAATCATTATTTACAAAAATACCACTTCTTGAAACCATAGACATAATTTGCCAGCGTTCTGACATCCTACCCCTACTAGAGTTAGAATTCAAGCGACTGTTAATCATTTGTACAAAAGATGTTCAGTTTCAGTTCAACAATATCATATACCAACAAACAAGTGGTGTAGTAATGAGAAGTCCGTTAGGTCCTGTCTTAACAGGTATTTTCATGGCCAACCTCGAAAGAACCAAGCTCAAAGGAGCGATTGGTTAAATGTTGTGTTATTCGAAGTATGCTGTTGATACCTTTATCGCATGTAATAATCGACAACATGCAACAAATCTGATAAAACGTTTCAACGAAGCTTATACAAATATCCAGTTTACTATGAAACATGAAAAAGAAAACAAGTTCCATTTTCTCAATATCTAAACGAAACGAAGAGAAGATGGCACAGTCCAACGTTCAGTTTATGAGAAAGATACATGGAATGGGGTTTATGTCAATTTCAATAGCTTTTGTCCCATCAGTTACAAAAATGCACTTGTTAAAACACTGTTTCACAGAACACAAAGAATATGTACTGCCGATACACTAGAAGAGGAAATGATGAATGTTAAAAAATGTTCAAAGAATAACGGATACTCACTGAAATTTATTGAGAAATATGGAAAACGTGAAGATAAAAAACCCATAGAAACTGCAGAAAATGAAAAACCTATTTTTATTCAACTTAGATCCAAAAGTGATGATGTCACAGCGCAAGTTAACATGAGACTAAAAACTGCATTGACGAGAACTTATCCTCCAGCTAAACTGACTGTCCTGTCCAAAACAACATGTTTTTTTAACACAATCAAAGGTTCATAGGTATCCCTCTCATGTTACCACCAACTGTGTATACAACTTTACATGTATTCGCTAAGTCAGTTACATTGGTAGGACAAAGGAAAGCCTACGTTCGATTCAAAGAACATATTCCAAAATGTTTAAGGTCAAATGAATTAAAAGCATTCAGCAGTGCCATCTCAAGACATCTCCTTGACTGAGGACATGAAGTCGATACACTGAAGTCCTTCATGGTGATTAATAAACAATCAAACTCCAACCTTTTGAAATTTGCCGAAACGATAGCAATCAAACGCTTAAAACCAAATCTATGTACCCAAAAAGAGTCAGTAATAAATCTTTCTTTGCCCTGGTAATATTAAGCCCCCTTTATTTATTTATTACGTCAACTCTTACTGAAGTTTAAATTACATCATTGTGATTTTTCTTCAAATCATAACTGGCTGATTTCAATGCAAATCTTTCTTTATTACGATGATTCTATTTTCAGTTACTTCATTACACAATCACCAAACGTGTGTTAACTAGTAATGTAGACTACAAAACTGAACAAATTTCATAAATGTCGTATCTTAATGTTCTACTTTTGTTAGTTGTAGTAAAGAATATTAAAATTACTGAATGTGAAAATGTAATAGATGGTTAAAAATATCTATATTGTATTATGGTCGAGTAATACTAGGTATGAACTAAAACTGAGGAATCTCAGTCACTGGATTCTAAGATAGGACATACATCTTAAGCGATTAAAATTATTTATTAAACAGTATGCACATTTAAAAGGGAGATAGTTCGAAGTTATTTCGGTGAAACAGTTCATTCAGTTAAAACTCTAGAAAATGATATATAAAGTAAAATTCGATCTACTGTATCAGTAACCTGACACAATATTAGACATATAGACGTTCTCACTGGAATTCACCAAGAAGTACTATCGCCAGATTTAAGAGCCCAAAAAAGATCTCCAAAACTTTCGAACCACAAGTTAATTGGTTGATATTTTTTATGGAATTAACACAACTGATATCTATCTGAATGAATACTACAAGTATACACGACTGACCAAATTAGTGGTTAGTGCTATTGTATAAGTTTCATAATCTGAAACGTTTGACCAGTAAAACATTTACTTTTTCAGGTCAGCTTACATGTGTGAATACGTGTTTTCATGTAGGAGCTTCAATAAGTTGAAATTCAAATATTAACTTCCAGCAGCAAATTTGCTATTAGTATTACACATAACAATTATCTAAATTACTCACCATTACAGTATATTGATGGAGAACTCAACACAGTAGTACGCATCTTATTGATCAAATTACATTAATATCATTCGTGACTAACGTAAATTTTGGTTTCATTAATAAACAATGTACGTCAGTATTTTGCATGTTCAGTTACCAAGGTGGAGTTTTGACGTACATACTGCTTTTTATTAATGTCTATAAATATTGAGCTGAGTGACAGTGGTTCAAATTTCTGATTACCAAAAAGATACCTTTTAAACAAGTACTAACTACCATAAAATTGAGTTTTAAATCTTCCTCCTATTTGTCTTTAGTCATCGAACAGAAATTATCTACTGTACATAAAGCATTATATAGAAACGTTTATATTTACCATTCTTGGCATATTCCATCACTAAATAAACATATCTTCCTGTTTCAATTACCTCGTATAACTGAACTGTAATAAAAAATGAGAAAATAAAGAATATAGAATTCAGCAATCATCACAGTGCGTTATATATATTCCAGTGAAATATTTGTACACTAATGATAGCTTCATTTATCCATTGGATAGTCACATATTCGATCAGCTCGTTAAAAGATTTTGTGTCTTTCAATATAATAGACTGACGTGTGGGTGAGATGATTGTTTCAACTATCACGGCCATCCCAGTACTTCAGATGTAATAATGTAAAAAAAAATTACACATCCTATCTGTTAATCATATCAACTAGTTAGCACGTTCTAAAGTACATTCAATTAAAAGTCATTGGTAGTTTCATAAATTATATTGATAACTTTTAATTTACGCCTGCTGCCCGAAATTCAAGTTGCTAACAGAAGTAATACTTATATGGTTATCTATCGTATTTTACTACACTTTAATAATAAGGTTAAAAATGACGTTATGGAAGTGTTAATTTCCTACTTCTTAACTGAGATTCATTTAAACCTCCATTAAGAAGGAGGAAATTTAGCCAATCTCTTTTAAAAAACTAATCCACAGATGATGAGACTGACCTTCTGGCTTTAAAATAAACTTCTGTCTTCATTATTTTCTCACTATTCTTTTCTAGAGTATTTACATATTCAATCTATATAATAATAAGTATTTAAATAATTCTTTCATGATTATTGCCCTCTATTAATGTACATCTACATATGAAATCCAGCTTCAAGTAAAAACAACTCTAATGCAAAATAAATATAATCAGAAAAGTAAATAAATCAATATATTTGTAATATCCCAATGAGTAGAAAAATGAGATTTTCTGACGTTTCGTAACTCGGTGTAAGCTACTTCTTCAGAGCAACCAAATTAACATTAATCCAAGTTTAAATAGTACAACGGAACAATTAGTGATCAATCAAAAAACAGATCTGAGTAAATCAATGTCATGTCATTTCATTTCGGTCAAAATGATTCATAAGTGACATGTATATAAATTTGTGTGTATGTGTTCACTGTTAATGATGAAAAATGTGTGACCTTTTTAATGACAAAGGATAGAGTTTAATTTCTAATGTAATGGTGTGAAATTGTAAATAATATCAGACTAGGTGATTAGGATAGATCTAAGTAGGATGTATGGTAAGGCCTTCCTTTCTATTGAGAGCAGTGGGATTAAGCATTGTATGGAACGCTTCAGCTACTCTCCTTTCTTTGTAATTGGAAAAACCTTTCTGTAGTATTTTGATACCAAATGTTCAATTTTTTCAAAATTATCAATTCAAAACTTGGTAGTGATACCTATAATCAGAAAAGGTTTTTGTTGATACTATTATAATTTAATAATTTAATTCATAAGCCAACTAAAGCTAAACCACCATAGAACACGTGGAAACACTGGATGACCGTTTCGTCCTAGTATGAAACTCCTCAGCAGTGCGAATCCACGATCCCGGTCTCGAACGCAAACACTTAACCTCTAGACCACTGAGACGGTATCTAACGGTGTTAATGTCTATCTTCAACCAATCGACGGAATTGAGCTACCATCTGAAATTGTCTTCAATGAGTTACTATCTCACAACAGACCCGGTCGAACTCCACTGGCTCAATGGTGTGGATGTTAAGTGTTACCGAGCGAAGCCGACAAGTAGATACTGTAATAATTTAATAATTAAATTCATAAGTCAATTAAAGCTAAACCACCATGGAAAACGTGGAAGCACTGAATGACCATTTCGTCCTAGTATGGGACTACTCAGAAATGTGAGCGAGATCGTGGATGCATACTACTAAAGAGTCACATACTAGGAAGAAACAACCGTCCAGTGCTTCCACGTTTACTGTGGTGGTCTAGCTTTAATTGACTTAGGAATTCAATTATTATATCATTATAATTTTTTTTTTTTAATTTTTAATCATTAACATTAATGTTTCTAATTACTCAGCAACTGAAGAGAATCTACAAAATAAATAAATAAATCTATATTATTCTACGACGTTTATTATTATTATTCTTCTGTTCATAAGAGTTTATATTTAATTTGCTCATTTTGCTCATTTATTGATTTTCTTTTTGTAAATACCAATGAATTGTAACATCATTTTAATGATAATGATAATTGAAAGCTTGAATATGTATAGATATACAATATGAAGTATGTATAGACAAACAATAAGGTAAATAGTATATTATAAAAAGTTATTTTTTTTTAAAAAAAAAAAAGTAACAATATTGTTACTAGTTTAAATCTATCTCTATGCTAATGGTTATTCTTTAAAAGTTAATTTATTATTAAACAAAATGACCTAAGTAACTTTATTTTTTTAACTATTTAACTAAGAAAAATTTAACAATGAAAATAATTTAAGGAATCTATAATAGATAGAAAGTTGTTTGTTTTTGTTTTTTTACTTTATCATACGATCTAGATTACTTTATGATTCTTATATATGAATTGTTCGAATCTTCATGTTGATATTTAGGATTAAAATTGATCAATCTCTTTAGGTATATGTGCATTCTGTATGGATTGGCTAGATATTGTCATTCAATGACAACCATTTTTAAACAGAAATGAATGACGGCTATTATTGATATTTTGGATGGAAGTTTCATCTTATTCGGAACTTGTTAATGTAATGTATTTGAATCTTAGAGTTGATTTTCATTTCGGAACTTGAACCCAGTATCGTTAACTTCAAATGCTATCACTCTATACACTTATCTACTGAGTTTAGATAACTATTGGCTTATGTGATTGGATGAATTTTAAATCATAGATATTAGTTTAAATTCACTTAGTATTGTTTGTTTGGATCTTCACATTGATGTTTTTAGGACCGCAACTGGTCAGTTTCTAATTGGCATATATGCATACTGTGTGTGTTGCCTCGATATAGCCTTATTTCACAAGCATTGTAAGCAAAGATGGATAGTGGCTAGCAGTGGAGTCCAGAATGCACGTTTCGTCCAGTTGCAGTCCTAAACATCAATGGGAAGATACAAACAAGTAACACAAAGTGAATTTAAACTTCACTCCATTGCACAAGCAAGTGGCTATCAGGACTCAGTAACTCAGTGGATGACGCGATGGCGTTTGAAGCGAACGGTACTGGGTTCGAGTCGCAGAGTGAACATCAACTCTGAGATGCAGGTACATCCAGCTGATGAGTCTCAACTAGGACGAAATGCGCGTCCTGGATTCCACTGCTGGCCACTATCCATCTTTGCTTACAAAATATATTAGTTGTTTAGATTTTTCGTAGATATTTTTGGACTGAGATTGATCAGTCTTTACTGCTATATGGTTTGAATAATTCCATTGAAAAATTCATCATGTTTTTGAACTGGTCAGTGTAAACTAATCTACTATCTTCCATTGAATTTTTACGTGGATGAAAAATGTATATAAGCAGTAGCGTCTTTGTGAAATAAATAATTATCCTTAACTATTACAATACATATGACGTTTACTTGTGACAGTGTAAGAAAAATTAAGCCGGGAATCAATTTTTATTCCTATTCCGTTTGTATTGTTAAGTGCTATACTGTAAATATTATCGTATAGATTCACTCTGCAATCAATTCAAACATGTTTTCTTATGTTTTCATGAATCAGGCTACTCAAAAAATTATAACTTATACTCAATACAGATTTAGGATTTAGCTGTAAAAGTATGCTCTTTAATCCGTCGGATGTTACTTAGACTTTCAATATTAAGAATGGAAAATGAAACCCATTAGTACGTTTTCTTTACATATAGGTTGGCTGGTTTCCCTCTCTCTCTCTCTCTCTGCTTTGTAAACCACGGGTTTCTGGTAATTTATTCATAAAACAAGTGATTATACTTATCCACTTAGCGTTGAATTAGTCTTCTTTTCTCCCTGGTGACTTCGGAACTTCTAATTAAGAGTGCATCAGTGTTTTTAGGAAAAAATAAGACTCATTGGAATGAGAGCTTTGTAGTTTTAGTACAGAAATTCGAAAAGAACCCAAATAAACATGAAGTGAAGAATAAAATAACTGTATCATGTTGTTAACATTTTCAGTGAAGTAGTTATTTGCCACCATTTAAAGGTAATAATCTGATTTCATCAATTGTCTCAGTATTTACAAATTCGATGGGTAGGAAAATATGAATAAGTGACATTTCAGTAGATCATATAATCAAGAGAAAATGTTAGGTTTATTCGTTTTCATGTCTCTCAATTGTGTTGTTATGCGCATTGTATAAAATTAATGGACAATAATTGGACAAAAAGAAACCTACTTTATGGAAACATTGTTACGTTTCATATGTTATAAAGCAAAACTTTCTTTAATGGGATCCAGGATACGCGTTTTGTCTCGTTTGGGACTCGTTGCTCGATGTTCTGAATCTCAGAGTCAATTTTCACTTCGAGCCTCGGACCTCTTACTGTCCTTGTTCAAACACCACCACGTTATTTTCTTAGCTCTTGAGTTCAGATAAGAACTGGTTGTGAAGTGGGGTAAAGTTTAATTCATTTGAATTAGTTGTTCCAATCTTAGAATTGTTGTTTAAGACTGCAATTTATCAGTCACTTTTTGGCATTTGTTCGTTCTGTGTGAATCGCTTATGGCTTAATGACAGTATCGAAGTAATCCACACAGGATGAACATATTTCAAAAAGTAGATAATTAACTGAAGAGCCAAACATCGATGGGAAGATTCAATACAACTAATACAAATGAACAATTAAGTTACTTTTTGTCAACTAATAAGTAAATAACTAGTCGAAGTAAATTGTCACATTTTCAACCATATATCAACAGAAAACTTATATGAATACAATTTTACTCTTACCAATATTTGGATGATTAATTGATTTGGTCACTCTGACTTCTCTTGTTAACTACAATAAACAAAAACGTGGATCAAGATAACATTGACATTTTAATTATATAATATTTAACTATTTGAAAGTTAGATTGTTTGTTAAATAAAGTATTCGAACTTCCACATTCTATGACCTATTTTTTGTTAAACGTAACAAAAGACAGTGGGTGTCCCTGACTGACGAAAAGGATTTCAGTCAATGAATGAAAATAAACAGCTAGTACAATAAGAGTTTTTAAAATAACAATTTAAAAAAAGGATTTTATTAATTGACCCAATCAGTAACTGATAGTTCTTTCATTTGATTTTTAAATAATAACTTATCGTTTGATCCAACCACATCTGATTACTTAGAATTGTTTCTATTTCATTTTCAAAAACATCGAACTCTCGATAGGTAACTGACCAAATTTCCCAACTTTTTGAGATGCACTGACATTTCTTAAGATAACAGTGCAATACTTTTCTTCGCTGAGGCAGCCGAGAATGATTTATTGTTTCGTTTTATTTATAGTCATTCTTCTGATGAACTGATATCTGACATTTAAGTCTGTATGTTTAGGATTAGAAGTTAGTTGGATCGTACATTTGAGGCTTAGGACTCCTCAAAAATGTTTATATCAAGCATTTATTTCAATAGAAATTGTTTTTCAGATGTTACCATGTCTATTTCCCAAAGATATGTATTCTCATCAGAGGTTGTCTAAATCTTCTGAAAAGACTTCTGGTAGTCTTTTTTATTTAACCATAGCAATTCAATTTGCTGTTATTCAGTCAGGAATCATAGTTTTTAGAACAGACAGACAATCTTGAAATAACTATTTGTGTGTTTCGTATGAAGCCTTGGTTAAATTGGTGAACTAGATACTGGTGGCTAAATGCATTATCGCGTCAATCTGCTGGGAATGCAGTATATGTACGTATTAGAAAAAGACTGCTCAATCTCAAACCATAACAACAAAGAGAAAATACAAGCCCCCAAATGCCCTGGTACGGCCGAGAGTGTGGAGAGCCCACTCTCCCTCTCCAAATGTTCTCATATGGCCACGCGTATATAGGCTCTGACAGGGAAGTTCTACTCACTGCATTCTCGTGACATTACTGTTGTTTACGAAATTGAGAGGATAAAAAGCGAATGTCCGGTGCTTTAATCGGGTTGTTGGACACAGAAAGTCCACCTAGGGGAGTTGTAAAACCCTGATTCCAAACCAATGGTGCACATGGGCTCCAGTATCCTGAGGGAACAAATGATGTATGAATCAATCGTTGGTCACCGGCTACCATGGGACTGCATCTCATCTCTAGAAAGTTATTGTGCCGTAAATTGCTACTATTCAGAAAAAAAATAAACATACAGATGTTAGTTTTGTCTATGACTAAAATGACGAATAATAATTTACTTTAAGTCCCTATCTTTCAAAGCCTGATCTTGGGTTGTCTTTATCTGGTTGTTCATTAGTGAAATTATACTCTTCTTATAAGTATGAGTGTTGAGCAAAATTATTTGTTTGTTGAATTTTTAATTACTATTTGATTCGTGTGTGTTTTGCTTTTTTTTCTGACTGACTGTATTCACCGATTTCTTTGTATTCAGTCAAATAATTTGTGCTTTAGAAGTAGATGAAGTCTAAATATCAGGTTTTACCTACTTCACCTATAGTTACACCTAGACCCTGACTCAACAGTTTTGAAGAACGTGCATGAAAATATACCTCTAGATAAATAAATCAAAGAACAACCTAAACTGTCTTCAAAGTTAAAAAAGTTATGCAATACATCATCTAATCTGATATTTCAAGTTTTAGGCTTCAGTAAACTCAAAATATAGTGAGACAATCATCCTGTGCCATTGATGGGTGACTGTTTTGTTTCAAATAAGGTTGAACTCTATCCATCATGATGTCTGTCCAGAAGGTCAAGAATCCATCTCAGAAAAAGTCAATATTGAAGAGTTTGAATAGTGCGTAGAGCATAATTCACTATTTGCTTTCAGTAACATTGGCTGCTAGGATTTCAAATCACCAGAGTTAATCATGCTGATCGTAAAACCTGAAAGTCACATATACGATCCATTTGAAGGCTGTTAACGGCCACTATCGGAAGATCCTGAAATTCCGGGTGAAATAGTTGTCCAGTGCTCTTTGGTTTTTGGATCTTTTTAGTCGATATCAGTGTATGATGAAATGTATGATGGATTTGAATTACTCTTCAAAATAATTGAAGTAAATGGTTCTTATTTCATTAACTTATTTAAGTACGGACATGTATAAAGTTTGTGTAGAATAAACTTTTCGAATAAGTTTTCCTAGTAGTTTTATCGGCGACGTTCATTAAACCAAATATGCTCAAAACCAGAAAATTGTTTGTAAGCCGCTTAGTTTAAGACTATCTAAGAGAAAATAACCTAGCCAGTAAGAGCTCTTCTGAGAAGTCCCATACTTAGAGAAACGACCACTCATTGTTTCTTTGCTTTCAATGATTGTCTAATTTTGATCATTTCGTGATTTCAATAAAATTTAACATTCTCCACAACCTTATACTGACAATACAATACTAATCATATGGTATTGCAAATTTTGTAACGAATACCTGGAATAAGTGAACACAAAAAAAGTATTCATGATACTTATGTTTGCAAAATGCAACTGTAATGATTGACAACAAACAACATTTACCTAGACAGGTATAAACTTGTGAATTAAGCATCGCAAACAAGTGAATTATACACTTCAAAAATTGACTTAACAAATATTTGCATATTTACGATCTCCTTTCTGTATGTGATTTCATGTTAATGCACTATGATTGTATTTATGAATAAAGCAATGTGCTTGTGCAAAACATAATATAGAAAGAAATAAAGTGTTTTACAGATTGCTTAGACTACCCACAAACTTCAGCAATTAAATAAAACCAAAGAAACCAGATGGAACTCCTTTAATCAAGTACATTTTATCTGATTCATTTGTAAGTTAATTCACTTCCTTAAATAACAAGTAAATTTGTGAACTAATGTAACGGTGTTCGACAAGAAACTATAGAAATTTTAAGAGGACACAGAACTCACCCACTAAATCAATAGTAAAATGCTCAAAAATGCCAGATTTTGTACTTTTATTGAACATTAAAAATGGATGGATAACACCATAACTTTTCTATTTAACGCAGATTATTATCGATGAGCTTGTTATAATGTAGAGTCAGTACAATTTTGGATTGAGTGAAATTCTTGATTGAGATCATAAATTGATCAATGTTAGATCACCAGGGAAAACTTGGAGACCTAAAGTCCTGGGTTCGAATCCCATGTGCGGAATCATGGATTGGCACTGCTCAAGGGTCCCATGCTAGAACGAAACAGCCATTCAATGAGTCTAAGTTTCCAATAGTGGCCTAATATTGATCGTTCATGATCTCAATCAAAAACTCATCAGTCTCCACAACTCCATATTGAATGAAATTTATCAAAGACTCATTAAAAGACAAAATATATGTAATAATAATAATAATAATAATAATAATCAAAGACAAGATGTCATGAAACGATTTAAAATGGTTTTAATAACTTTTCCGCTTAGTGAGTTTTATTACTAAAAAACTCATTCACCAAAGGATCTGTCTAAATTTTGTAGTTAAGCGATGGTAATAAAATATTTATAAAGTTATAAAACTTATAACAATATTCAATGTCCTAATAAAGGTTCAATTGCTCAATATTGATTTTTGATGTTCTTCAATTATTCTTTCCAAATAATTAATTGTAGTGGATATGTTGTATATTAAAAGAAAGATGGATAAGTTCAGTGGTTTACAGTAATGAGTCCCTTGTGTTGTAACATACAATTAACAAGTGTATAAATCAGTTTATTGAAATATGTAATTGGAATAAAAGTAGCCATACTATTTTCTTATTTTAAAAGGTGACGTTTTGATAAAAACATTTACATACTTACTGAGTTAAAAATAATCTCTAACATCTCAACAAACAATATACTACTTTGTCGAATTAGTACATTAACTGAGGTCATATAAACTTAAACATTAATTTACATCAGTGTTTACCTTTTGGGATGATGCTCTTACCTCATCTCCATCTTGGTTGTTTCAAGCTCTACTGAAAGTTATCAGCAGTCTGTTTCTTTACCTGTCTCGTTTCAAATTTCTTTGTTGCTATTTAAAAAGTTTTAATTTCGTGAATGAAACAAAATTGCCAAAGGCTACGTCTAATAAATGGTTGTTGATGGTTTAATATGGTCACCAAATTACAAGGCCGAAACTTACAGATATGTGAAGTTTAAGATCCTGAATTTATTGGACAATTAACTTATAAATAAATTAAAACTCTTATCGATTAATGGATGGATAATGATAACTCATCAAAGTCAGATTGGCTGAAGGTGACAAATTTTCAGGATAAATCCAATCGATGTTTTGTTTATTTCTGTTCATAACTAATAGCCTCAATAAAAATTATTTGATCATATTCATTGGATCGTTTATATGTTGATCCCAAAATATACTCATGAATTCTGACAGGAAAAATATATAGTAATATACCAATACATAACTTATAAATCGTATATGTACAATAAACAATATACAATAAACTAACATTGAACATTTAATCCACTTACTTTATCTCGACATGTTTTATACATTTTAATTTTATCAATCATTTTGATAGCAACCTGTAGTATTGTGTAATATGTGTATTGTTGTTGATCATTGTATTAATGAATGATTGTACGACGATAGAAAGTTGTAGAACCGGAAAATAAAAGAAAAATAAAGTGGATTAAAATTTAACTTTTATAAGATAGCAAATATGAAGTAGGAATTGATGATATTGACTTGAATGATAATGAATATTGTACAGTTGAATCATTTAGTTTAGAGGGCTTAACAACACTATAATGACCTATCTAAATTCTAAATATTCCTCATTATAATAAGATTTAACTAATAGAACAACTAATAAAATGTGTATACAATATTATTTAATAAAGGGTGATTTGGTCATGATTGAAGACACGATAGTTTCATTCTGTATCATGTATCCTATGACCAAATCCATGAATATAAGAATTCATAGTGTATATGTAACGTTCTAATGATTGAAGTATGATTTGAAATGTTTCTAAGATTGCTAAGTTATTAAATGAATCACTGAAATAATTCATATTCCTACTATTCAAAATTTGTCATTCTCAATACTTAAGTATTTGTACAAAGAAGTAGATATTTCAGAAATCCTTAATACGTAAATAGACCGTATTTCCATACGTAATGATATCATTATTTTCATAGTTGAAAGCATGAGTCAATTAAAGCTAGACCACTATGAAAAACCTGGAAGCACTGGACGGCCGTTTCGTCCTATTGTGAGACTCCTTAGCAGTGCACATCCATGATCACGCACTCGCGAGATTCGAACCCAGAACCTACCAGTCTCGCGCCAGAGCACTTAACCGATAAACCACTCAGCCGGCATCCGATCGTGTTAATGTTTAATTTCAACCAATCCACGAAATTGAGCAAACGTTCACCAATTGTCTTCAGTGAGTTGTTATCTTACAACAGACGTGGTTGAACTCCACTGGTTACTGCTTCTCACTAGAACTTCAGGAAATATCTCTCGAAGTCAGTCACTAGTGAGCATATGATTATAATCAGAAGGAGTTTTGTGGAGATTTCAGTATTTTCGTAGTTGAAAGCATGAGTCAATTGAAGCTAGACCACCAAGGAGAACCTGGAAGCACTGGACGGCTATCATTATTATTAAAAATTTCCCATTTATTGTATAATGCGGTACCGTATGATTGAATAAGTTAACAATCTAACAGATATTTTAAAATTCATTTCCGTAAAGTTGCTTTTGAGAACAAAATAACATTTGAATTCCGAAGTTATGCAAGTTAGTTTTAATTAACATTCACAAGGAATTTTGAACAGGTAAGTGATTTAAAATATGCGCTACCGAAAATGTTCATTTTTTTGGCAGAAAATATACTTCCTATTGACTCTAGTTTTAAAAAAATCTGTAATTTTCATTTGATAAAAGTATTCTTTTTGAGTTTACTTTTAGCTAGGTGATGGCATTCTATACAATGACATCAAACTGGAAAACTTCTATTTATGCATGAACCTTTATCATCAATTCATCTGTTGCGCTGTGTCATTTTATTTATTGAAAAATAGTTTCAATGAAGGATAGCTATTTCATCTTATTCTAAGATGTTGTACAACTTCTACTCATGACTGCATGCAAAGCTGGACCAAATCTCTAGATAGCTCAAATAAACACGACTACTTAAGACATTAGATCAAAATCTAATAATGCAGAGTTTTGTACTTTAGTGAATTCATGATAAAGCATTCAATTTTATAAGTGTTTAATGAAAACACTTTTTAACTGATTCAATTAGCGTATGTTTTCAAGGATATTCAAGAATTAAGATTGAAATTCACAGAAGGAAACATTTGCAAATTATACAAGAAAATTAGTGAAATATCATATAAATCTCTAATCAAACCAGTAAAACTCACGTATTTCAAGTTTGCATTCCGTTTAATTCATAAAACACACAACGAGTAATAACCTAGTCTATCTGATAACTCATCTAGTAATCATTATTATCATTTTTACAATTTTAAAATGTCAATCTAAGTTGAAATTTCAAATGTGTTGATAAGATTGTTAGATTTCAACGAAATCATTAATCGATGAAAGTTAGACAATCATTAAAAACTTCATAGAGCTGGATGATCGTTTCGTCCGAGTATAGGGCCTATCGGGGGTGTTAATCCATAATCCGACATCCGGGAATCAAACCCAGAACCTTCTGTAATTTGAGCGAACGCTTAATCTGTAGACCAATGAACTAACAACCACTCAATTTCCATATTGGGAATTATTTGCTCACAAGTGACAAGGTTCGAAAGGAAATCTGACGTGTTCTTGTGAGAAGCCGCAGCTAGTGGAACTAAACCATGTCGGATGTGTGGAAGGCACCCTTTGAAGACAATGGAAGATGGTCGTACATTATCGTAAACTGATTGGAGTCAGAAATGTATAACATTGGTTGCCGGCTCAGTGATCTACAGGTCAAGCGATCTCATAAGAGACAGAAGGCTCCGGATTTAATTCCTAAATGTGGGATTGTGGATGAACACTCCTGAATCGTTCCATACTGGAATAAAAGGGTCGTCCAGAGCTTCAAAATTTGTAATAACTGTCTAACTTTCATCGATTTGTGATTTCAATGTAAACCGGTATTATATAATGACTCAAATGCAGTCGATCAAAAGATTTAGGGAAGTATTTCAGATGAATATTATATTGCACAAAAAGCGCCTCTGAAACATCGGTTTGAATAGTTTTAAGGTCAGAATTAAGTCAACTGAACATAAGTCAATGGTAAATAAGAATAAATTTAGTTCAATTTAAAAGTTTTTAAGTTAATTGTTGCTGATATCCTTAACTAAATCTTGGTCAGTCTTAGTTCATACCCGATGCACATATGAATGGATATCTGAACTCGGCAACTAGGTGGATAATCCCTTGGTGTTTGAGGTGAAAGACACCAGTTTCGAATTTTACTTAAACTCTGAGATGGATAAACATGCGACTGACAGGTCCCAAATAGGACAAAACGTGGATCCCTGACTCTACTACTAGACACAAACCATTTCTTCCATAAAAATAATTTGATTTGATTTCACTGAGATAGTGTGTTCTATAAGCTAGATGGTTTAAATTTGGAGATTTGTGGTAGTCTGAATGAAATTTTATTGAGCAGTGCGCATCCATGATCCTGTCTCGCGAGATCCAGACTCAGGATCTATCAGTCTCGCGCGCGAACGCTTAACCACTAGACCACCGATCCGGCCGGCATCCAACGGTGTTAATGTCTAACTTCGACCATTCACCAATGTCATCAATGAGTTGATATCTCCCAACAGACCTGGTTGAACTCCATTGGTTACTGCTTCTCACTAGAACTCCAGGAAATACTTCGTGGAGCCAGTCACTAGTGAGCATGCCGGCCCAGTGGTCCAATGGTTAAGCGCTCGCGCGCGAGACTGATAGATTCTGGGTTCGAATCTCGCGATCGTGGATGCGCACTGCTGATGAGTCCCACAATGAGACAAAACGGCCGTCCAGTGCTTCCAGATTTTCGATGGTGGTCTAGCTTCAATTGATTCGTGATTTCAACTATGTAAAATTAATAATAATAGTAATAATTTCATCACTATACATTTTACTATCAATTATCAACAATAACCTTGCAATATATTGCAGCGGATCATTTTCAACATCCATCTAGATTCTAACTATTCATAAATGAATAGTTTTCAGTATACGGTTTGTAATACTTTTAATAGTCAGCTTCTATCACAACAATCTTCAATTATAGAATATTATTTCGTCAATCCAACTACTGCAAACAATATTTCTATCATATAGGGTATATTGGATTCCAATGTTTGTTTGTTTTTTTCAAAAAGATAGACAGTAAGGAAAATATGGCAACAACTACGGTGATCATTTGATCATTTGAGTATTGTTTTTTTAATATTCAATATCAAAATATAATATAAGTCTTTTGTTAGAGCTTATTATTAAAATAAAATTTTTAAAAAAACTAGTCTCCATTCAATTCAATTAAGTCTAATTTAGAAATACTTAAACAAGTTAAAAAAAATTTAAACGTTTAAATATGCCGCAATTTCTTTTATTAAAACAAATGAAATTTTTTTCATCACAATCTAAATTGATTGTATAATATCAACATCTTTTTTTGAGAATAAAGAAATAGATACACATTTCCATTGTTCAATTAAAACAATAATTTTATAGTTAAGATCATGAGTCAATTGAGGCTAGACCACCATCGAAAACCTAGAAGCACTGGACGGCCGTTTCGTCCTATTATGGGACTCCTCAGCAGTGCGCATCCACGAACCCGCTCTCGCGAGATTCGAACCCAGGACCTATCAGTCTCGAGCCGGAGCCCTTAACCGATAGACCACTGAGTCAGCATCCAACGGTGTTAATGTCTAACTTCAACCAATCCACGATTTTGAGCAACCATTCACCAATTGTCTTCAGTGAGTTGATATCTCTACAGCAGACGTGGTTGAACTTCACTGGTTACTGCTTCCCACTAAAACTCAAAAAAATATCTTTTGAAATCATTTACTGATCTGATCTTTATGTTTTTAAGAAACAAGTTCGCAGAATAATCTATTTCAGTTGAATTTAATGTTGTTTTTCGTCATTGTTTACTCAGTCAGACGGCCTGCTTGAATATTTGGACTGCCTGTTTCTGCCATCTAAATATTTCAACAGGTTCTTTGTTTTTTTAATTTTTTAACACTTCATTATGTCTATTAATCGCATAACCTATACAGACGCGTTTATGAAAAGCTTACGTCCTTTCGCTGCAAAAAAACATTACAAAATAGTACAATAAGAGACATCGTGGTGGTTGGAAATATGCATCAATGAGAATGAAAATTAGTCAAATGTCTATTCCCGAGCCGCTAACTTACAGGGGACAGGCAGATTAGGAGCGATAACCAGCTGAATGTTTGTGACTTAAATAAGTCTTTTGTACATCAATCATCTAATGTGATGCTCTTACAATCGATTGATCACCGGATGGTGTTCAATGTCATGCCTGTC